TTAATATTGTAGAATTTTTATTTATTTATTTTAAAGATTTCTTTTAAAGATTAAAATCAAAGAATTTTTCTTTGTCATACACATTTTTATCATGGATTTATTCCATCATTTTACGATGGATGAAACTCTCCAATTTTTTTTTTTTTTTTGCAAAAATTTTGTACATTGGATTAAAGCAACGTCATCGTGTCTCGTGTTGTGTTTACCCTGTACGAGATTTTTCGCTGATCGCGCAAAGATCTTCCTCCCTCCCTCCCTCCCTCTCTCTCTCTCTCTCTCTCTCTCTCTCTCTCTCTCTCTCTCATACACATACACATACATACACATATACCTATTGGAGAATCTTGCGACGCTATATACCGCTCGGTATTCCGGATACACGATACATCAGGCACATTCGCGGGGAATTTGTGGGCGACGTGTCGAGTACGTTCCTGAATATATACGTTGCTAGGAATACCGTCGGCGGTATTCCTGCGAAGCGTCGCGACGTCCCACAACGAGGATGACATTTCTCTCTTTCTCTCTCTCTCTCCTTTTTTCTTTCTCTCTCTTACTGGTAGTCACTGACTTTACAACGAGATTTCGTGTTTATATCCGCAACACATTTTTAATATTAAATACTTGACTGGTTCTCAATCTTATTCGTGCAGTAAGAAAATACGTGAACAACCTTAATTAGATTATTATATACAGACTGATTTTAAAATAATATTCTTCTGTTTTCTCTCTTCTGGATATTTCATAGATATTTTAATAATATTGAAAACAAGAAAAGAAAGATTTATATAAAGGAGTTACATAATTTATACACTTACATAATCATTCTATATTTTTGATTGAACAATATTTTTCTTGAAATAAATTTAAATAAATTTAAATTATAAATTTCCTGAATTAAATTTATATTCCTTAAGGACTCATCTAATATAATGTATTGATTATTAAATATTTCGTGCTTAAAGTCTAATTATTTTGCATAAAGCATTATGATATATTAAACAAAAAATCATCTAGGTATTTCTTAATCTCCATATTTATAGCTTTATTTATAACTTCAATCATCATCGACGCACAATAGCCCATTTGTGAGCTCCAAGGGACAAGAATATCCTTTAAAGATAATATTAGCACAAAATTGAAAAAAGATGCACAATAGCCCATTTGTGAGCTCCAAGGGACAAGAATATCCTTTAAAGATAATATTAGTACAAAATTGAAAAAAGATGCACAATAGCCCATTTGTGAGCTCCAAGGGACAAGAATATCCTTTAAAGATAATATTAGCACAAAATTGAAAAAAGATGCACAATAGCCCATTTGTGAGCTGCAAGGGACAAGAATATCCTTTAAAGATAATATTAGCACAAAATTGAAAAAAAGATTAATTTTACAGGGAAAGTAAAACTAAATTTAGTTTTTTTTTTCCAAAATTTATTATCAATTATAAATCCTTTTCCTTATAAATCCAATTATAAATCCAATTATAAATCCTTATAAATCCAATTATAAATCCTTTTCCTTATAAATCCTTTTAAAATAAATTATAAATTCTTTTCTTGTTTTCAATATTATTGATTTTCCTAGCAATCCTTATGGTAGATGCGCACATCATGAAATATGCCAGAAGTGGGAAAACAGAATAAAATTATATGATATAAAGATTTCGCCGAGATATATAAGAACTTCCATATTTTCTCCATTTCTTTACGGAGAGAATACTTGTTTCAAAGATAGTGAATGTTTGCGAACAAAGGAGAAGCTTTTCCATACCTGATGATAACGTTATAAGGGGATAAATGTAACAGAATATTTTATAACTTTAGTCAATAATTAATAAAGCAAGAGAAATCCTACCAATGTTATTATTGGTATTATTTATTGAATCTACTATAATTAATGAGACAAAACTATATGAATTGTGCAGTTTCTATCTTATTAAAATGGAAACATTTTCAGGAATTTTGGTACCATAGTGTTTTATTTTTAAAATGAACAGATGCTGTACAAATATATAGCTTGATCGTGTTTTTTACATATTGCATATACATGGCATTTGCCAAGCGAAATGCATCATATTGTAATTATAAAAAAACTCTCTCTAATAAAAAAATAAAAACTGACATTTATTCAATTTATTTGCGAATGCTAAATTCATTTTGCTCATCGGATATTTGCTTTTATTATAAAATCTCATCTTGTCTAATATGTTTATAATAGTATATTGGAATAAATCGCATAAATCTCTTTACTGATATATTTTACGCGCAGCTTACGGAACAAACTTTTATCCTGCGGATCAGGTATTGTGGTTCCAAAATATCTAAAGTAAAAAAAACAAAACAAATATCTCGATACATTAAACTTTACATATACATTTCTTTTTTTAACATTAATAGATATATACCTTTTTACGAAATAATTAATAAATATAATTGAAACACTAATTTGAAACGACATTGTCTTTTATTAACGATACAGATATAACACATTGAATTTGCAGATTAAATATTATCATTATAAATAATTATGATTGAGTAATTACTTCTTATGATATAATTAGTTACAACTACAATTAATTTAAAAAAATTAACTTTTCCTTTCGAAATTTTAAGCACATCAGAGGATCTACAAAATTATATGTAATTAGTTTCGTGTCAAATTTTCGATAAGAGAGATGAGTGTTCTTTTGCAATTCAGATTATTTTTTTTTACGATTTTGCACAAACTTTGAACGCAATTGCTTTGAATAATTCGAATAACGTACGATTTTAACTATCAATCACGAAACTACATGGCCCTTAGTAAACATTGTTTGAGGGAATGTCGCTCAAAGTCCTCTGGATAAATGCCAACGCTTGTTACGCGGTCGCGCTTTTTTACTAAAAGAAATAAGCATACAGAGCAGTAGGATTTTTTAACTTTTTTGTTTGCACGAAAACCTTTTTAATTTTTATAAACTGATGAGATGATCGATTTCATGCGTTAAGAATACATAAAAAAAAACTTTTATTTCAAGGTTTTTTAGGACAGTCTTTTTTTTCTCTTGAAAAACTTAAAATTACTTTTTAGTTTTAGTTCAAATTTCTTTAATTTTTCTTTATTTCTTTTTTTAGGCAACTTTCTGTCAACGCTCAAAGTTTTAATTTTCTTTAATTTTCTTAATTTTACAAATCTTTATCATGAAGCTATATACATGTCTATAATATATTAGAGCTTTACTTTGCATCTTACAAAGAAACATAGGAGAATATCAGCAATTGTCATCATCAAGCATATGTCTCTTATTTCAAGCCACCTTATAATATATTCAAAAAATTCATTAAAATCCAAAACAGACATTTCCATATTTTTTTTATTAATAAATGTCTTTGAAAATATTTGCATAAAATATATATTCGAAGAAATTGTGAAATTTCAATAATATTTTTTTACCGTACGCGTATTTTTATTTAACACACGTTTTATCGCCAACATAAAATTGTCGAGTGTGCTAATATATCGATCGTTAGTAAAAGATATCATTTTTCTAGGAACACACAATTTTACAAAGTTATGACATTTAACATTTCTTTTTTTTTCGCGTAGAAGTTTTCTACTTTTTTCTTAATCGAGAATATTTGACATGATTATCTCTTATATATCTTTATCTCTTAACCTTCCTTCGGTTTTTAAAAATCATAATTTAATATATGACCAATAAATTGATTTATTAATATTAATTAACTAAAACTCAGTTTCTTATGTTTCTTATGTTATAAATTTCAATATTAAGTGTATTTTTGTCTTGAATCTCGGTTGATAATATTTAGTAAAGTATCTTAACATAATGAGAAAAACTAGAGTAACATTATATACATAAACATTGAAATATATACATGTTTACAAAGTAAAAAAAAATTCACCCATATTTCAATTTTATAAATTTAATTTGTAAAAGCAAGGGAAAAATAAATGCAAAGGAAATAAAATAGAAATAGAAAGCTACAAGATACATAGAACATTCAGGTAAACATTTAATTAATTAATTACTGAAGGCACAAATATTGATTATTTACTATCTATAAATAGGGAATATCTATATATACAAATACAGTTTGTAATTAGATGGATGAGGAAATATGTTTTCAATCGGAAAAAGTAATCTGTAATTAATAATATTGAAGGATTCAACGTAATATAAAAACGCAACGTCACTGTAATCTCATCTGATGCATCTCTATACCACTGAGAAAAAATCGTTTGATTGTACCAACAAGACCACGTATATGATTGAAGGCATTTTGGTTAAATCAAACAAGAATTTCTAGTTATCATGATAAGACTCGATTTTTTATAACGTTTTTTTAGAACGTTTAATAGATTTTACTATAAGGATTTGGTTAATATTTTCGGGTTGAATCTATAAAATTTCTTGTTGCATTAATTTCTTTGCTTGCCTCTAGGCGGCGAGCCACTCTTAACTTTACTCGCATTCAATATTTTCCATGAAATTTATATAAGGAACTAGTATTAACATTAAATCCAAAGTATATTTTTTTTTCTCTTACGAGCAGTAGTGCCAGAAAGAGTATGCTAGCTCTCTGATTGTGTGTGTTTGAGCTGCATCCTCTTCTTGCATCATTGTTTATCAGTTTAATTTCTAACAAACTGAACTTAAAATAATTTATTTAATAATCTTGAATTTATGCAATAATCGTGTTGGAATTCAGAATATTAAACAGACTTTTGAGATGGAAAAAATTTTAGACAACTTTGTGCTGGTGAGTTTAGTATTATTAACCAGAAAATTTGGTAATTTAACAGAAAGAAATTAATCAGATTCATCTGGTAATTCCTACAAGAATTCTGGTTCGTCCATTTTTCAACAGATATACTGGTTGAATCTGTCAGAATTCTGATTAATGCAACCAGATTTTTTTCTCAGTGTACGATTCTCAATCATTTTCTCATCTTTATTTTTCGATTTCTTTTAATCGAGCGACTTCTTCTGTTTATAGAGCCTCGAGGCGACATTGAGTGACAGCAAGAAGAAGTACAGTGACAAGGTGAGTGCACTTCTGTCAGCGTGGGAGTATGTCACCAATTATATTCCTGCGGCACCGCCCGAGGCCATCCAGTCTGTCATAGAATGGGCTCACAGGTGAGTACAAGTCATTCATCGATTGTTGTATCCATAATTATGCGGCCGACTCTCAATTAATGGCAAATTTGCTTTATGAAGACTTAAGGGAAAGGGGGTTTCAAAATTGATACTTGGAATTTGATATTGCATTTAACATATATCAAAATCATTCTCCTTGTCAAGTTACATCGTCGATATCTTTGAAAAAAACTCATGCGATAAATTATAATTTTTAACAAAGCTATTATTTAAGAAATCCAATCTATTTTAATTGAGAGAAATTGTAAATTAAACTCAATTAATAATTAATAAATGATTTTTATTTTTATTAAATAAATTTAATAAAATAGTTTTAAATATTATGATGAATATATATTAATAAATAATATATATATATATATATATATATATATATATATATATATATTCTGAATATGGAAGAATTCTTGTAACTTTTATAACATTCCTTATTTTTGTTATTTGTATTATCATAATTACTTAACTTTAATATTTATCAAGACTGCTGAGTTTATTTATTATTTTTTTGTTGATTTATTAGCATTGTTATAACATTATAAAATATTCGCATATGACCTATTTAACGAGTAATATGTATACTCGACTTTTTTGTTACTACTGGTTGGAGCTTTTTTCGACACAAAGATAGCACGAAACAAGTTTCGATGTAACAGCGTCATTCTACGACAGATGAACGTGACGGGAGAGAGAAAAAACGAGAGAGGGGGGGTGATAGAGTGAAAAAGAGAGACCAACTGCACTGAAAGTAATGAATCTGCACGTATGTAGTGCCGTCATACAAACGATCCTGGAATTTTGAATAGCAGTGCGACGCAAATTCACGTTAACGTGACATGTATACAACTGAGATATCTTACAGATACTGGATAGTCCGAAAAAGATATGCGAAAACATTAATCTTCGTGAAATTTTAAGTTGCTTCTTCTTTAATGAAGAGCTAATTAGAAAATTATTCGATATTGTTTTTTATGTACGAGTTAAATCCCATAGACATGAATAAATAACGCAATTTTGTTTCTTGATTAATTTAATGGATATTTTATTCTGACGAGCTTTTTATTAATAACTTTATCATTACTAATACAAAAATAAAATATATTATGGAGATTATAATATCTAAAATACTAAATTTTAAAGAGAATCAAAATTTAATTTAGGTATAATAAATTATTATTCTCTTTCTATTTCTCATTAATCAATTTTCAGCATAAATAATTCTAGTTACTAATATAATAGATTATTAATTAGATGAATTAGATATAATAAATTAATTAAATAAATTTAATTAGATAAAATTAGATAAATTAGATATAATAAATTTTAAAAATATTTAAAATTATACTTAAAGTATTAAAAATTGAGAAACATTAAATATATGGCTATTCTGATATCTATCCTATCTATCTATACTCTCCTCTCTTGTCTTTTATCTTAATAAAATTGTAAATAAATTTTCGCAATGTTCAAACGCGGGTGCCTCAAATACAGAAGCAAACAAGTGCGCGCACGTTGCTGCTGTTCTTTTACACATTGCAGCTCGCTCACGTTATTGTTCTCTGTTGTGCAGACATACATTGACATTCGTATTGCGCGGGGAGTGGCCGAAGTTAGCACCAAACGTCGCCAAAACGCACCTCTGCGTAACATTGCAGAGGTGTGTGTCTCAGCTGGGTCAGCAACACCCCGCTGCGTCCAGGTGTTCCACTCTGCTAGCTCTGGTGAACAATCCATGGACAAATCCCATTCTCACCAACATACTTAACGGCCAATCGGATTCCGAACATGAAGAGGGTAAGAAGAGATGAAGTATAATTATTACATTAACCAAAAAAGTCTTCTTATCTTTTCTTTTTCTTTTTTTGCGATGCATGATTCTAAAGTTACTTCATACGAGTACATTTAGCTTTGGTTTCACGCACACATATGTAACTTGAAAATTGATTTTTCAAGGTGTAAAAAAAAAAGTGAAGATTACGGTTGTATATCGCGTTTGATATAAGTTTAAAAATGGAAAAAAATAATTTGACACATTATACTTTATTATTAAAAATTAAAGAGCTAAAAATAGATATATACTTTCTTGCAAAATTTTTTTAATAAGAAGAAATTTTAAAATCTGCAAAATTCTAGTTGAAGTTTTTTATGAAAAAAAATAAAAAGCTCTTTCGAAAATAATAGAAGGTGTCTAAAAGATGACAGAAAGCAATCGATCAAAATAATCAATAAGTGATTTATTAAAGTTTTAATTTTATACACAAAACTTGTTCTTTGAATTTTCTTAAAATGATTAAATAAAACAAAAAAAACTTTCCAAGTCTATATTTTAATGTACATATATCTCATTTTAAATTTAGACAAAAGTATGAACGTTTTTTAATTTGATATTTTGTATACATTATCTCTGTGGGAAAATAAATTAAACACAATATTATATGTGTTCTTTTAATTATAGAATGAAAAGGAAGTTCCTTTTTATTGCATTTAAATATCAAATATTTGACGATGTTATCAAATGTACTTAATATAAGAGGCAAAGAGAGATTGTAACTAATAAATTTAGATTATCCACACACATGAGTTGTAATCATATTAAGTAAGAGATGAGTCATAGAACAGCATGTGGCATGATACATATATGCAGCAGCATATGACAATTGTGCTTGTCTTTAATACATTAAATCTTTAATTATTCTTGTTCAGTAACAAGTCATTTTATTTGTTTAATTATGTTTCTTAATTTCTTTAACTATCTTTAAACTAAAAAAAACACTTTACATTTATTATTGATATAACATTATCAAGAAACTTTTAGCGATTGATTTTTTTCGTGGTGATTATTTTCACTCAATTGCTCGCTATTTGAACGAATACTAAATTGGTCGAATTTAATAAACGAGGATTCAAATCCCTAGTTATTTTTGTGAAAAATTGATACATTGTCACCTACATTCGATTCGTTAAAATGACATGTGTATTGTGGTTTTAGAATTCTGTTGTTCGGAGCCAAGCGAGTTGCTGACGATGAGACTGAAAATGCTCTGCGAGGACCGCTGCGAGGACATAGCGGTGAACCTCGCTGCTGCGTGCGTACGCTCCCTCAGACGAAGCGATCGACTACGATCGCTCTCGGAGTCTCATCACGTCCATTACATGATCGACGTGTACATTGTCCTCTTGTTCAAATTGAAACGCACGCAAGATATTTTCGCTCAAGTAAGTATCGATCGAAATAAATATCCAATTATTCTGCCACAAGTCGCGTTCGATCATTCGTTTAAAATGCAAATCGTCAGAAATCTTCCTGAATTCCTAATTTTCAAACATTCCTAAACCAATTTGAGTCATTTAAAGAAACAATATTGTAACACATCTAGCATTCCCAGAATATCAGAATATGTTGGATTGGATTTCACCATGAAGTCATATCGATTCATTTGCTAAAAGTCATTAAAATATAATCTATATCAAACTAACAATAAATTATAAATACATTAAGACTCAAAAACATTTTCTTAGACCAATTTTGTTTAAAATTATTATATAATGTTTTCGGTAGATTAATGCATTTCTTGGCGATCGAAGAAATGCACGTATGACTTCTTCCTGGAATTTACAACTGCGCTTTGTTACAGTTAAAATTAATGGACCTCAACGACGGGCTTGAATTGGTCCAGAGGCTTAACGGTGAGAAACCAACCAAATATGGGACGACGCGCATATGGAGAAATTCGATAAAGGCCGCGGAATTAGTCGCGCAGTATCTTGTTACTGTCGGGATGATTCGACCGATATCAGAAATCGGTGCAAATATTTTTGAGCAGATCTTAAACTCTTGGGCGCTATCATACGTAAAATTAGGAACGAAGGATGTCGCACCGACTCTGCCCGACATCATTAGAAAATTTATTCAACCCGCGGAAAGTGCTCAACATATTTATATCTTCTGTGCAGTACTTGCAAAACATGTAAGTAAATATTTAATTTAAAAAATTAAAAATTTCAAAAAATATGAAAAATTTATTTTTTTTTATTTTATTAATTATATTTATTAAAAGAATAAAATTATATATTTATAAATTAAACACAGTGTAAAAATTAATAAAATAGAAATTTTTTTTTATTATATGTATGGTAAAATTAAATAATCTTTTTATAATTAAAATAATTAATATAATTAATAATATAATTAATATAATTGATTTTCTTTTTAATTGCAGTTTGGCGAGAACATAAAACCTTTAGTGATTGAATTATATATTAGAGCGTTGACAACGGATATGAACGAACTTGAGAGTCAGAAAGCAAAATCAGACAAAGACAAGGAGCGCGAGACCGCCAAGCGTCTTAGCACGCAATTCCTGAAATTGGCGGACGTAGTAGATAGTAATATTGGCATCGCAAAGGAATGCGTCTTGACGGCATTCTCCTTACATCCTACCAGAGCTTGCTACGACAGAATAAAGGAATTAGCAGTGGCGTGCGGAAAGGCCAAGGAGGATGACGTTTCGCAAGAGGGGGAAATCGTTAAGAGAGAGGAACCTAACAAAATTCAAGAGAAGAATCCAAGAGAGGATGATCTCCCTACATCGAGTATCAATGTGAAATCTGAGATAATGGATAATAACAGCATCACGGAGACGCTCTCGGCACAATCGTCAAGTTTGATAGTTTCGGAAATGCAGCTGTATCAAAATTCTACCATCGCAAAGAACATAGACTTTCAAAATGAACAGGTGACGGAGACATTCGAACAAACTGATCAGTTATTAAAAAGCTTGTTAACGAAAAAGCCCGAGAAGATGACTGATACGACAATGCCTGTGACATTGATAAACAACAGATGTCCGTTACATCTAAAACAGGAATCTTCGTCCAATGAACTACTCGGCGAGGTGTGCTTTAATTGTGGAGAATTTACTGGAAATAACAAACCGAACGATGGTAAATCACAAATGAGTGAAACCAGCACGATGCCGAGTAACAACAGCATAGAGAGAACACTAGATACGCTAAATTTGATAAAGAGCGAAACGGTAATAGGCTCGGTCAACTATGACGAGAAATCTGTGCCTAGCCAAGTTCTCGATGGCGAAAAATTGGGTCTTTCGCCTCAACTATGCGACGATCTAGCTGTAGTATTGAATAGTCCGCGTTTCAATTTGCTTAGTTGGGTGTTGGATTGGACAGAATTGAAGAACTCGTGCGAGCAATACCTGGAAAACGAGGAAATGCGCAATACGAATAAAGAGCTCAAATATTTGAACATTGACTATTCGCAATTCAAGGATTGGCCATCGGAGGATGACACCAAAGATATCTTCTTTGGCATCGAGAAGGGTTACGAACAATGGGCCGATCTACCATCTGACAATTCCGAGCAATTTGGCAGCTTTCAGCCAGCAGCCGGCTACAAGCGCTCATCGACACGTCGCAGTTTGGACGATACTACTACGACGGATTCCGACAGTGGTAGTGTATTGCGCGTGCGACGTACTGCACGAACGCGCAAGATCCATCGATTGGAATCGTCTGAAAGTGATTACGATAGCGCCGAGCCTAAACCAAAGCGCTTTAGAGATAGAATCAGCTCGGTATCTGACAGTGATAGCAATACGCAAGATAGCCAGACCGATAGCTTGGGTAGCGATGGTTGCCGATTAGAAATTAAGAAGAAATCCAACAAATCGAGCAACAAGGAATCTAATAAGAAACGATCGAAGACATCGAAGCTCACTGTCGAATCTGTCTCGCATTTTCACATGTTAGTAAATGAAGATGCGCGACGCACAAACGCGCACGAGGACGCCAGCGGCTCTGATGTCAGCAGCAACGACATCATTACCCTTTTCTCTGCCGATATGGATGAAAATAAACGCGAGACGATTAAGGGTTCAGCGTATACCGCTGCAGCACAGTTGATCATCACTACAGAAAGGCGAAGCGATCCGGCAGTGCTCAAATCTCTCAGAATGTATAGACCGCAAAACTCAAAGAAGAAACCGTCGAGGATCTCGCAGATTTTGCAAAAGAATCTGCTAAACAAGAGCAAGGACACCAACAACGCCAATCGGGATTGCACCGAGCAACAAGGAACAAATAACATCACGAAATTCGCGCCGATGTTAAGCACACTGAATCTAAATCCGAAAATCGTGTTAACACGTACAGATGAGATTGATCGTAAACTCACAAATCGTTCCAAAAAGCAACAACAACGGCTGAGCAGCGGTGATATTACCAGCGAACTGATTAATATAAAGACGACGATGCCATTCTCACCGAACAGTAAGAGCGTAATGACGTACCAAAAAAAGCAAAAGGAACATGTTAGTGGCAAGAATAACACCAGTGGTAAGAACGACTTAGACTGTCCCGTGATAGTCGATGGTCATCGCGATCATCATCATCATCATCGTCTCGGTTCAGTCAAGTCCTTGGGCAAGACCAAGTATGATTTTTTTGCCGTTAGGGATTCCGATATATTGACTAAAAATGTGCCGGGTATGAATTCGTTGGATATGATGGTGCCGCCGCGACAGCGATCCACGGTCAATGTTGTGCAGCTTTCTAGAAGCGGTGTTCCACAGAGCCCGAGTTCCGCTACGAGCACGACGGCGACTATTAACGTCAGCGGCAACACGCCGCCGCGACCCACACGTACACCAAGCGTGGCTAGTAACCAAAGTAGCAGCGGTGGCAATAATAGCATACAGTTACCAGGCACACCGTCCTCGACAGGCGGCCACGATAGTGGCGTTGGTATGAGTCCAGCCGGCCAGACACCGCCACTGAGATCATCCTCGAATCTTGGAACTCCACCAGACACAGTTGGTGAGGAAGCCAATCAACTGCCGGATGCCGCGTCGCCGACGACCATCAGTCCGACGATCCCAACAACGACGATGACTGCCAACAATCCCTCAACAATACATCAGCTTGATGTTGCTACCGCCGCTGTTATCGAATCATCCGGTACAGTGCGAACAATGGCACAGATACGTCGCGCGAGCAATCAGCATAATCAATCGCCAAGAAAATCACCATCCTCTCCATGTTCTACGGGTTCGATTGCAATTATAACCACGACGATGACGACAACGACCACGGCAACGTCCCCAGGAGGATTAAGCGCGACACCCATCACATCCGAGCCGTTAAAAGTCATTTGTAAGCCGGACGGTAGTTACCATATTACATCGCTCAATCCCAATCAAAGGAATCTTTTAGGCTTACAGAATCTGGACGAGGGTATTAGTTTTGCGCGACAAACAACACAACAGCAGCAGCAACAACGTGTTACAGATGCGACAGGTGGCGCGTCATCTAATAGAAATGCCTATGATCGACTTGCCGCTTCCTCTGTGAAGAACACATCACAGTCTGGTCAGAATGCTGTTCTGCCTAAATTCAATCAGGCCTTCCGCAAAACACTCTATACTATGTCAACCGATACGCCTGCAAGTGGCGTGACCACTGCTCCGAATGATACACCTTTGAGTAACATCCAACAAACGACAGCAGGAGTGTCCACGCAAAAGACGACGACGAATCTATCGAAGGCAGTGCAAACATCTGTGCCAAATAATCAGCAGCAACCACAACATCAACAGCAACAGCAGCAGACAAATGCTGGCAGCATTAATGTGCAATCGATCATTCCCAATCTGCAATTGTCGGCCAATAGGCAGGTAGTTAGTATTGTGCCAAGCTCTGGTAATAATGGTCCGGCGAACGCAGCTATCAGTTCAAACCAGGCTGCTAATCAAACAATCACGCAACTCGTACAGAATGCGAGCTCGCCCAGCACTGGTGTCATATACACGCACAAAGTGATAACCGGCAATAATCCAAATCAACTCAACATCATACCGACTATATCGCACACGAATTCTATACCGGGAAGAGCTCCAGTGGTTAAATTTAATATCATTCGCCCGGTTAATAGACAACAAATGACGGGAGCTATTCAGGCTGTCCTACAAACGCCGAGACTGCAGCAACAACAACAGCAGCAGCAGCAGCAGACCGTGAAAACGGAGAATCTAATTGGTTCTCCGATCGAAGTGAATAATCAAGTGAGCTCAACGACTTTGGAACAACTACGGGAGTTTGAAAGTGTGCTAGAACAGGTGAAGGAGAGGAGTATTCAGCCGCAAGCTCATCATTCGATCTCCAACAGCGCAACCACGACAACCGTACAGACACAGACCACTACACAGCAGACTCAGGCGAACAAACCACAGCAGCAGCAGCAGCAGCAACTTTCCGTTAGTGCTCTGGCGCAGCAATTGATGATGCCTACGCAACCTAACGCTACCAGCGAGACATTCGCCAGTAATGGTAATACTGTGACATTCCAGCAAGAATCTGTGTTTTCACAGAAGATTCCTGTGGCCTATGTAAAACCTAGCAATAGCAGCCAAGTTGTCACCGCCAAAGTGGCGGCCAATTCAACACCAACGCCGGTGGTAGTGGTCACTAGTTATTGTCAACCGGCAGCATCACCAACATTAAGCGTTACATCGCAGAGCTCTTCGAGTCCTTGCGTAACGCCAGCACCGGCGCCGTCAGCCGGCAAGACGCCACCGACACCGCCGTCCACCGCAGCCGCGGCAGCTGCCGCCGCCGCCAAGACCGGTGTGAAAAAATCGACACCAAAGACAGTCAAGACCAGCGCTACCAACACATCTAAAGCATCACCGATACCGAAACCGCAACAGAAGCCTCAAGAAGATGAACAGACTGCACAGCGGATATATGCAATCCTCGACGAGTACGCTGAGCAATTGAGAAATTCGCCAGATCTTAACAACAAACCAGCACCTCGAAGAAGATCCAATCCGCCGACCAATCCAAGCCAATCGTCGAAGAGGAAGAAGTCGAGCTCGAGCAAGACCAAACCGGTGGGACAGCAAACTTCCGAATTGAGTCCCAGTACGGATGATCTAGGCAGAACTATGGGCAGTGAGGATTCGTCCAGCGGTGTTGTACACGTGCAAGATAGTCCGGCTGGATTTTCTGCACCGGAAGAACCAGTGAACGTCAATGCTAGTAGTCATGTCTCTGCGGAAGCGAGCACAGAGGTGCGTGCTCTGACAAGCGATTCGAACGACGGTGTTGAATTGAACGTGAAGCGGCGTAATCTCATCTTTACGGAGCCAGGTTCAGGCCAGCCGCGCACGGTAATCGTGCAGGAAGCGATACCAAACTCAGTGAGCGTCAGTGAAGCGATCGCTTCGGTTACCAGCAAAATAGGCAATGCATCTGTATTGATGCCGAGTATCGTGCTACCATTGGTAGCCAAGGGCACTCAGTACACCATAGTATCTGGATCTAAGTTACTCGCGACAGTCCCAACAACTGTACGTGCTAGTAGCAATGCCAACACCTTGGTGCTGCAGTCATTCATCAATCAAGGTACCAAGCTGATTACGCAGCCGCACGTTAAACAGATGAAAATGCAACCTACCTTGCAAACATTGTCGAACAACAATCAGACGCTGACTAGTGCGCAAAATGTTCAGAGCGCGTCTGTAGTGATACCTCAAACTGCAAGCGCGCAATTTGTCGGAGAAACAGCAACGGCGACAGTAACGACGCCAGACGTCAAGCCCAACGTAATCGGTGATTTGACGCTGAAAAATGAAACGGCCGTGGCCGTTGGCAGCGGAATTGCAGTCGAGTCAGCAGCGACGAATGCCGCCATTGTAGTGAACAAAAGCAATAATCCCACTATTAGCTTGATTGGCACTCGAACTATTAACGAGATTTCGGATAGTCAGCAGATATGTGGCGTTATCACTAGCAATCCAACGCTGCAGAGTACGACAAGGCTCTTCAATTCAAGCATACATAAATTATCGGCACCCGCTTTGAAGACGGATAATGTAGTTTGCATAGCGTCGGCGGCTGCTGCAGTTTCTCATCCACCGGACAAGAAATCATCTCAGGATGGACGGGATATCCACGCCGAAAAACCGGTATCTATACAACCAGGTGCCACCATCGCGCTAACGTTTGCCTCGCAGACCGATGTGAACGCCATACTCAATGACGCTAGTCAGCAGCAACAGAAAGAAACGAAAGAGATGTCCACCGAGATAACATCCGGCACTAAAATTATTTCCCCGAAAAAGAGAAAATTCAACGACGTTATCGGCATACAAGAGAACATATCGCCGAGAACCTTGATTCCTATGAACATTGCCACGTCATTACAGAATAATACCAAAATTGGTAAGAACCTTGTCCAAGATGAAAATTCTGTTTTAGTCTTTTCTTGTGCAAATGCGATTTTATTTATTTTTTACTTTGCGTGACGTATTTATACATTACATTGTGATCAGAAATATTTTATGTAAAAGTGAATTATGTAATTGAGATGATAATTTCATGTAAAATTCTCTTTAATATTATTATTGAAGTATAATTATTAGTGAATTATTTATAAATTATTATATAATAAATCATTTTAAAGTTCTCTGTTATTCAAATTTAAAAAGTAAAATTTGAAATTTGAAATCATTTGATTTTTAAAAGTTTTTGAGTAATTATAGGAATTATTTATATACATTTTTATATTATATACACTCACATTCAAATAATATATAAAATTTGCAGAAAAATAAAAATATCGACAACAATAATAAGTTTCTTACATTATAGAATATCTTATATCGCGTAAATGGCATTGATTTTCGCAAATATATATCGCATCTTTCTCTCTCTCTTTCTCTCCCTCTCTCAATTAAATTCTTTTTATAAATTATTCGTATAGAATCTTCTATTACATCTACGAACAAGCAATCAAGCATCATCGATAGCACAACACAATTCTTAGTAACTGGTGGACCGAGCAGTTCAGATAGTCAAGAGTCATCTATGCAACAATCCGCTGAAACAATCGATGGATCCTGCAAGGTCGGGAACGGATTGTTGTACGAAAACGCGCGCTTACAGGAAGCCTGGGAATCGGAAGGAAAGATTTCACCCGACACGCCCTGGAGATATGTCCCTACGTCAATGCAGAATACACTGAGCAACGATTCATTAAAAGGATATTCCAGGTAATAATTTAAATCATACTGATCATATTGCAAAAAAGAACTTCAATTTAATTTTTATTTGTAAATCTTATTTTATGTTAAATATATTATTTTTGTATTAATTTAAATATCATATTCTATCAAACTTTAGAAATTCTTTAAAATTTTGAAAAATTCAATCTCGGCTGACATTCTTTTATTTACTTTATACTTTTATATATCTTTATGACTAATTTTATATAAATAATATTTAAAATGAATTAAATTCAATGATTATTTAAAAATTGGTGTAAGAGAGAGAGAGAGAGAGAGAGAGAGAGAGAGAGAGAGAGAGAGAGAGAGATAAAGAAAGCAAGAAAAAAAAAGAAAATCGAATAACTATGGTTAATTCTAGGGATAGCGACAATTCAGAGAGCGTACTGCAGATTATTAACAAAGGCCAAGGCATCGAGATGGCGAGTGGACCGATCTATCAATCGAACACGAAGAAATACTTCATGAATCATACTCTGGATACTACTACTTCATATTCCAATAAGAGCAACCTGATGAAATCACAATTAATTCCCAGATTGGATCGCGAGTTAATGCAACACAGGATAGAGAGGAAAGCGGCGTACGAGCGCGAACTTAAATTGCAAAAGAGCTTATCAGAAGAATGTGAAGATCTGGGAGTCGATGAACCCAGCACTAGCGATCTGTTTCCCGAGGCGGATTTGCTATTTGATACGAATCACTCGCCATCGTTCGATCATTCCTCGCAGGATGCGTCCTGCAGTCAATCTTTGGGCATGAAGCCATATAATAGCTCATATTTCCGATCATTAGATTCGTCGAGCGGTAGTAGAGATGCTAGTCCAACGAGCGATTTCAAGTCGAACGAGTGTAAAAGGAGTCAGCGCGCTAGAACTTTGAAAGATTCATTGAAGAAAAGCAAACGAGAAAAGGAGGATCTACAATTGGAGGCCCCGGTGAAACATTTGCGACTTACTTTGGACAATCTAAGTCAAGATGAAGCGTCAAACAGCAACTCGGACATATCTAGACTATCGCCAGCAAATCTCGGCTCGCTAGAGAACGACTCGTCAAAAGATATGAGTGGTCATCATCGCGTTAAGCTAATCTCGAGAAGCGGATCGAAGGAAGGTACGCCTAGCAGCGTATCCAGTATACCATCTAACATGAAACTGGACATTGATCTGGATTCGGAATCGTTGCCACCTAGTATCAACGTTAACAATACTTCAGCGGCAAGCTCAGGTGACGAGAGTTTGACTCTACTTAGCAACACCGTAGACCATCACACTATACCATCACCATTATCACCGTTGGGCGCAGCCGGGCCGTTGCTGTCCACGCACAAGTACACGTACGCCAACAAGAAGCGCGTGCCATCATCCAAGATGCACATGGATTCTTATATGGCATGGGAGAGTCCGATGTCTGAACGCACGAGATCCAGCAGCGAGGACGAAGATTCGAGCATCAGTGAGTCGATCAGCAGCCAACCGGAGGACAATGTTGCATTGAGCAATGGCTTAGAAGACAATGTGCAGACATTAAAATCTTTGTCCACAGATCGGCGTTGCACTTACGTAAAGAAAAAGGATAAACTGCAAGTGAATGCGAGGGTAGTTTTAAATCGTGCCGATCATAAAGCGACGTCAACAACGATGGCAGCGCTTCCTAAGCGAATTCCCAAGGCGGAATCGATAGCGGTAACTGAGTCGATGGTGATGTCGAGTGATAAAGCATCAGAGGCGTCTGAAGATGAGGCCGGTAATATCGTGCTGATGGAGCCGACGGATTGCCGCGCTAGAAGATCCAGTTTGCGCGGCCATGTGAAAAAAGGCTGCGCATGTTGCAACGGCTCGCCGGAGCGACCGAAGAAAAAGACGACGACGGTTAAATCAACGGATCACAAATTGAAGAAGCGCTTGTCGTCGAAGCAGCCCGGTAAGAGAAGGTAGTCCTAGCGATCGAACGCTCGTATGAGCATTGCAACATGTTACTATATCATTAACGTATCATCATTGCCGTCATTGATGGGTTTTAAAAAGACGCGGGCGTTTCAGCGTGATCGAAATGAAGTCGACAGAAATGTTGTACTTCTTTCGAAGGAGAACTGTTCTGAGGAGAACACGATTTGGACAGTAAATGATCTTATTTGCAAATCGGAAATATCGATGGGACGCGTTATTGTAAATATTATTAGAAACGCGCTTAGATGCGCAAATTACGTGATTTACCACATTTACAACATTTGAAACATTGGCGGTTATATGCAGATATAGCCGAGAGAAATATTCTCCATCAATTTAATGATAAAATTAATGATAAATTTACGTTCAAACGTTGCATGCGTGTATGTGGATATGGATATGTATGAATGTGCGCGTGCATAAGAGAGAAAAAGGATATAATAGACGTATGATTTATATTAATTAGAGTTCTCGTCGATATAACAGTAGATCATCCTTCTACCATTAGGTGTTAACTATGATATTAGATTATAAGGTACAGATCATTTATGTATGGCAGACTTAGATTTTAAATCGTTAAGGATCGTTTAGCGATGCAATCTAGTCAAGTCGTTTTGTGACGAGGACGTGGGCGACGAGTGTAAACAAATTTTGATGAATGAGATAAGATATATCGTAATGCGATCGTTAATAGATTCCTCGCAGAGTAAAGAGAGAGAGAGCCTGAATTTATATAATTCAATCTACAGTATGTCTGTCATGACAAAGCTCTATTCCACGTTGTAACATGGTGTGGTCAGACTGAATAGACAAATAATAATAGAGTTCTCTTTCCGAAAAAAAAGATTAGAACATAGTAACAAGGATGTGCAATCTCTTTGGAATGCATCGTCTTTGCCTTTCGTGTAATGCTTACTTGTATCTGTATAACTCTAACTTTATATATAGAGATGAAACTGTCGTTGTAAATTCTCGGCGCTCTGCTCTTGCAAGGCAATCCTTGAAAAAAGCAGGATTGTTCGAATGATGAAAAGATTATATATATATATATATATATATATATATATATATATATATATATATATTCACAGACATGAAGCAAAGAAAAATAAAAAAATAGAATGGCAATAACACGTTCTATGGATCATTTCAATAGCTATCTATTGTACGGCCCGACCATACCATATGTCATGGTGGTGCGTGTAAAAATTCAAACAAATTTAGAACTCACAACAACATTGCATAAATAATTCATTGGAAAGATAATATAATACTATATATATGTGTATATATATGTGTATATATATATGTATATATATATATATATATGTGTATATATATATATATATATATATATATATATATATCTCGCTGCACTTTAGTACAAAAATGCTTCACTTTGTTTCGAATGAATGACAGATTTATATCGTATTATTATATCGTATGCTATTGTGAGATTGCTCGTGTGAGTGGTTATAAATTTTGCTATATGGACTTACTCTAAACTTATAACTTATAAAAGCTCGTGAAAAAAGGCTGCATGGGAGTGTGACTTGATCTAACATTTCGTTGTAATAATTACAATTAACCAGCGTTATTGGACGCTGATATCCATTCCAAACTCCACTTTTACCCAATGCGCGAGATATATATATATATATATATATACATATATACACGCGAACGCGCGCATACATGCATACACATATACATACACATACACACAGAAAACTCGTCGCGATTTATTTTTTCTCTCTTTTTCTGTTCTCTTTCGATGTTGCAAAAAAATTGTAGCTTCAAGTAATCGAAGTATAACTGTTCCTGCGAATAGTGTCTCATTACGTGATATGAACCAAAGTAGAGGCTCTGTCGAGAAGGAGATGAGAGAAACGCGAATAATGAATCGATGTGGTAGATGAACAAGCATTGCACATTGCACACGTGTAGAATGTGTAAATTGTAAACTAATTTTTTTCTTACTTCCGTAGAATGATTATTTCAATGATTGTAAACATTGTTTAGAATTAAGGAGATCAAAAAACTGTACGCTATACTAATTATATATATATATTTTATTTATTATATATATTATTATATATATATATTTATTATACACACACACATACATTATCGATTACTTGGCAGAAACTGTGAAAAAGAAGCAAAATTTAATTATTTTTTTTTTTGTAATTTTTTCACATGTTCAATTATAAAAAAAATTCTAATTTTATGAAGAAATACTTATATACTTACTTTAGATAATAGCCATATTATATTTTATTGTATATATTTTTTTCTGATAGTAAATATTACAAAGCAAAATTTTAAAAAGTTGCAATCTTTTCCATTAATTGAATTGTAACTATATTACTTTGTTGTATATAAACTGAATATAAGCAAGAGCACAGTGATCGATATAGTTTTCTCATCATTATTCCATTTTTCTTCTGTTACATTTACACATTCTACACGTATGCTCCAACATTGCATATGAAAAATTAATTCTTTTTCCGTGATTATTTAATGTAATCACTTTGCTGCAAATATGAATAATTATCACAAATCACGTTCCTTTCGATTCCTCGTTCAGTTAGTTAAACGACAAGCAAGATATCTACCTCCTGCGCTTAATCTCATTTTAGTTTATTTTGATTATAATTATTCTCTCGTGAGAATATGAAAATTCGAATACTTGTACGTAAAAAAATAGCTCGAAATGTCGTGGTCTTTACCTGTAAATATTTAATTTTGTAGCGTAAAATCGCAAATTCGTCGGGAGAACCGTCGTTTTTTTCTTTTCTTATATCTGAAATCTTATAATTCAAATCATTTTGTTTTATATGCGATTAAAGCGTTAAAAAGTGTAGATCTCGGTATCTACTCGGGATCATAAGAAAGAGTCTGTAATTAAATATTTGTAAATAAATATATTGAGTAGTATTTATGTTAATTTGCTACTGGCTACAGGAATAATTAAAAGATACAAGTTTTTGATGAAGTACCTATTTGCATTAATCCAATCTTATTGTAGCGTGGCCTAGATTATTACCAGTATTTTATTTACATTTTTATTCATTTATATTATGAGAGAAATCGGTATACATTTAATTTTCTTCCTTTACATCTCACGACAGGAGGAAAGGTGCATTTTTATTTTGTATCAAGCGAGACGGATTTCGACCAGATTATATTACTTTATTTCTATATTGAAATTAAGCTCTTGTATAATTGAGCATATTTAGACAAGAAAAAGTAACGATTCTCTTAATTAACGATTTAATTTTTAATTAAGAGAAAATTATTCTAACATTATTTAAATTAAATTAATTAATCTCTAGGAAAAAAAGATATTCTTTTTTTTCCATAAATCATCTCAATTTACATTTGCATCTCAAGCTAATGAGGCATTTTCTTCCATAATCTTCTTAATATTTCTTTGCTCTTGATCGTGAAAAGCGTATCCTTAAAAAAAAAGAAAGGAAATCTCACGTTTCTACTGGAGCCGTTTGTATAAAGCGAGGAAAAGTTCAGTCTCTATTTATTCTCATGCTAAAAATAAGGTGACGAATTATATCTTCCTGTATATTAGAGAAAGAAAAGAGAAAGTGCGCAAAGAGAAAGAAAGAGAGAATAGAGAGAGAGAAAAATATACGGAGAAATGTCAGAACGGCATGTCTTCGCGCATGTATAAAATTCCGAGCGAATGTCTCATACCAAATAGAGAAGCGTATTTTTTGAATGAGACATCTCTCAAAAAGAGAGATATATAGCTTCTAGCTCGCGCACGCCAGATATGCGTGTACATACACTCGATTTGTCGGTGATAGTCTGGCCTTTCGCCACCCAATTTAGTCGTACCAATCGCATTTATCATAGAGGGATGTGTAGTCTTTGTTGTTAAGGCAAATTCGAGATGGAAGTAAGAGAAAGAAGGAATCGTTCGTTTAAGAATCAAGGATCAAAACCGTATAATTTCGGTGAGTTCAATTCTTGATGTTGAAGAAAGACACGCCAAATTGTCGCTTTTCGATTATCATCGGAATAAGGACAAAAAAATCTTGACTTCACCTAAATTTTACCGGTTTTAGATCCTATGTTTGAGGATTAAGACACGGTTTTCCAAAGCTAAGCTTCTTCAGGTACTTAAAGAGAAGGGGAGAAAAGAAAAAAAATGATAAAATAATCCGCTTTACACTGGCCGTTAAGCGATAACTTAATAGTTTTTGTATCGTATATTTGTTAAGACTACTGTTTTTTTTTTGTCACTCAACACCCTACCAGTATTCGAGAGAAAAAGAGCGAGCGAGTGAAAGAGAGCGAAAAAAAGCAAGAGAGAGAGAGAGAATGTGCGAGTGTTATACGTCACTTTAGTATCATTAAAACGAGCGACGTATATAATAAAAAGGAAAGGGAGAAATATGCTAATGCGAGCGAATAAAGGGTGGAGAAGAAAAGATGCGAAACGAAGGAGAGAGACTCGGAAGAGACAAGCAAACGGCCATACGTTGCAAAACATATTCATTAAGCTACGTAATGTCGTTTAGCACAAATCAGTCGAAACAATTTGAGCATTCGGAGTAAACACTAATGAGTAAAAAACCGAAAGGGTACGAAGGAAGTATAAAAACGTGAAATATAAATTATGAATGGAGACCGGATGGAGCCCGGGTACAGTCATCTCCGAAGACGACGCGAAAAGAAGCGCTCCTGTGTACATAACGCGAATAATAGAGAAGAAACGAGATATAAACACATTTCGCGAGAAGGGAACATTTCTAGATACGGTACACCGCTATACATTATGCACTGTAAGAAAAATTGTATCAAGTGTCTCTCGAAAGCGACGCGCGCTGCGAAAGGGTGCCCCTTCGCGATATATTTCGCGAGAAGGGACTTTTCTCTGAATTTGAATTGCGAAAGGCTTTTATGTAAAGGTAATCATACTTCCCTTTCTTCGATGACATAATGATTACTTGTTGTTAAGAAAATTTTTTGTAATTTTTTTTTTAATTTTTATGCAATATTGTTCATACTATTTGTTGTTATTTATAGAAACCATATATACATTACGATGCGCCATAGCATCACATCTTTTCTTTTTCAAAAAAAATTTCAGCTTTTTTTTAAATTTGATATAAAAACATTTGATACCTTTTAGATAAAATCCGTTCGGCCGATATTTGCGTGTATATTAAGCAAGAAATCGATGCACAAATTGCAATTGTGACTGATATGGGAAAAGTTTTCTGTATAATGAAGTAATAACAAAGCAATCTCTGTCGTATTTTGCTCGCAAAATAGAGGACGCTCTGTAAATAGGGCTTTGTTTCGCGAAGCGACTACGCAACTTTTTTCATCGTATTGTGCTTATTTTCTTCATTATTTTTGGATTTTTGATCCATAATTCAGCTGATAATTCAATGCAATGTCCCATTTCTAATCTTGTGTTATCATTAAATGGCTTTTACATAATAAACGAATAAAATTACGTGTTACATTGTCAAATTTGGTACTAAATGCGCGATAAAAATATAATTATAAAATATTTTCCATCAAACTCATTCAAACTTTAGTGCGATTAAAAGTAGTTCTTTTGCTGTACAAAATTTTAAGCAGCATCTATCTAGAACTTAGAATAGTTTGCACTCTTCGAATTATTTTTTTGATGTGTATATTATATCAGAGTAGAAATTTTTTCTAAAAAAATCTGTAACAGAAAATTGTAATATTATATATTTATACATATTGTTTTTGTGTATATTAAATATTATGTCTATATTATAATATTGAGGGAAATGTGTTTTTTGCATTATTGCTCTCGATAAAATGTTTACAAAATTTACGTTACGAGAAATTAGAATTTAAGCATTTTTTATCCTTAATACTTTACAGAAAATGTACAGACAAAATGCGATGCGAAAAAGCTGCAGAATCGTTTTGCGGTGAAAGGTCGACTTTTAGAAATGTACCGTTGATCCACTGATGGAAGTTGTAAAATCGCACACAGCAGTAGTCGCCCTATCCTATGGATTTTATTTCTGTGGAGATTGTAAAGGAACGAAAGAGAGAAAAATGAAAATACTCCGTGGATATGACTGTACAGCGTATTAACTTGTCCGGAGATACATATATCGAGGATCCTTTTTCAAAACTGAAGTATTAAGGATTGCATATTGTACATAAACAAGACATATTTTCTATATAAGGAACGTCGCTCGGTAACAAGACCGATGGCTCGAAAAAAATACTGCAATATTATGATAATTCTTTCAAGCGGTAGGATAGCCTTTAATCGTTTTATGTAATGTAATGATAGAAAGAGGGTCTGGCAGAATAAAAGTGAAAGTTCTGTATTTAAATATCTTGTCGGTGTATATTCATTCATATACATATACAGGTATATACACATGCATATACACACATGTCGCATCCCCAAGATGTGCGAGTGATTCAATAATTAGGAGCATTTAATTGTAATTATATAGCTCGGAGAAGCTTCGAATCGTAATTTATCGTTACACCACGAAAATTATCGGCCTCACAAGTTAATTGATAAATTACGTCGTCTATATTATATACAGGTGATTTAAAAAAAAAAAAAAAGAGTTCTTGTATATCGTATTGCGGGATGGAGAATAACTATGCAAGAGAGAATTTGAAAAGATTTGATAATTTAACAAGAAATGAACCAATTTGAACAAGTTCGATTATATCCCTCTAGTACTCTGATGATGATCGAATGATCTCAAAATATGGGATTTAAACAGACTACAAATGTAATATATGGAAATTAATGAATAGAATCTATTGTGCAATTGTTTATATATTATTAAGTTGTACATTAGATATTAGTTTTTCGTTTTTCTTGAAAAAGATAAAATATATCGAGAATTTATATTTTTTCTTTTCAACTTTGTATTTCTTATAAATATATATATATATATATATATATATTGAAATATATATATATATATATATATATATATATATATATATATATATATAAGACAATTATAGCTGAAAGTTAGATTTTTAATATTCATATATATAAGAAAAATATTTATCATCATTATATACATCAAGTATCCTTCGAATTATTAGCATTTTCATGCTCTTTCCGTTGACTTTCCACCTCCTAATAAAGAAAATAGAAGATTGTCGTAATTAAATATTACATCTAAAAATATAGTAAAAGAAGCTGCTAAATTTTGCAAGCGTATTTCTTTAACAAAAGCATACCCTCTGAATAATGTCCAGTAATGTGACATTATCACTCGATTGGAAAAATTCGCTGATTTCTTGTGGAATGCAAAAGTGTGTAGGAGGTTTTGGTTGAATACCTATTTCCTCTCCAATAAAACGAAACTCTGGGGTATCATTAATATGATTTTGTAATTCCTCGTACGTAAAGAGCGTTCCTTTCGTAGATGATGCATTCATCGGACCGAAATCTATTATTTTTACTTTGTCCTTTTTACGTCGTACGACATCGAAAGAATCTGAGAAACAAACTCTATAGGTGATTATATGCATTTAAATCTTATTATTAATTTTAATGCTTACTTACAACTACATAACGGAAATCTGCCCTTGATGCGCTCTGAAAACAAGCTCTTGATGTCTGTCTGTATACTATATTTTTCTGATTCATTGGAACTGTGGTATTGCGATATATCTCTCTGACTAATAGCTACATAAAATACAATTTGTTATAGTAAAAGTTGACTTTGTAATAACTAGCAGAAACACAAAAGCAGTTAATATGGAATAAAATTTAATAGTTGAAGAAAAAAGTTGAGTAGATAAATTACCAATGAGTTCATTGTCCATAACAAAGCAACGGAATTCTGTACAAGGATTGATGTCTCGCCACTGTTTCAATACTAGACAGAATGACAAAGGATTCTCACAATCTCTCAAAGATTTTATGGTGTTCAGATCTTTAGCGATTCTATCAGAACTCTTCAATAATAAATAAACTTCCTCCAAGGTTTTACATTTGAGAGTCTTTGTTGGTGCAACCCATGTTGCATCCTAAAAAATAATTATAAATAATTATAAATTAATAATTCAATTCATCGTATCATATTTATAAATAATTAATGCAATGCAAATATTATGAATTAAATTGAAATGATTATTATGAAAATATATATCATGTTAAATGGATAGTGAAAAATTTATAAATATATTGAATCATTGGATCGCTTATTTTATATAGCAATTCAGTTTTTACACATAAAGTATTTCTTTTTTTTATATATAAATGCACAAATTTTTCATCTCTAGAAAAATAAACATTTTAAAAAAATTTAATTTGGTTTTTTGAAAATAAGTCAATATATTCAATCGCAACAAATAATAATATATAGTGAAAGCTTACCGCAGGTGAACTCCAATTGGTTTTAATGAATATTGCATCATATTCATCTAATACATCTTGTATTTTTTTACTGAATTCAGGAAATGTTGGTTGATAGTCCGTTTCCTATAATAATTAAGATTATTTTATAAATTAGATTGTCTCTAATTATAATTCCATCATTACGTGTACATGAATTTTTCAAATAAAAAATAATACCTCTTCTTCACTGGTCACCGGTGAGCCATCAGTCCATTCGGAATTCTCTGCTAACGATCTCACCGCTTCGATAGGCATCATAAATGCGTCATGCTCCAAGTACTTTAAGACATTATCAGGAATGTCGAGGATCGTAGCTTCCAAGGAATCTTTTTTAAATGTTGGATACCAACAAGAGAAGGAACATTCCGGTTTTAAATCACTCACCATCTTCTCGAAGGTTTCTATAAATATTTATATTTACACAAATACTTTATCGTACTTAAGAACTTTCATAGAATTCTCATAAAATGACAAGTAAGCTGTGACTTTCTCTAAAATTTAAAATCTCTCAAGAAAACAAAGTGAAACACGTAAACCTATCATTAAATCAGAATTCAAACCATGAAAGCAAGAAAATAACTAGAAGGAGCACCATGTTGGACAAGAAGCTTCGTCTACAAAGTTCGAACCATTTGATCGACCAATCAGAACAAAGAAATCTTTGTCTCTTTCGATCTGATTGGTCAATCTGATTCGAAACTTTCGTAATGTCAAACGGAACGTAAGAGAGACGAACGAAGACAAGAACGAAGTAGCGAATCTATGTCGCGAAAATAAATCGTGTTGATGAAAACGGGCATCTAACGTCAATGTGTCCGCGACAGCTGGCATGAGCGAGACGGCGAATTAACGATCTTTCTCCCTCTCCCCCTCCCCCTCCCACGACCCCGTTCTCCCTGTCATTGCCTGGCGTAGTATCGCACCGTTCTGTCAAACTTGGAACAAAAAGGGGTGAAAGCCCGTGAGTTGCGAGCGAGTGAAAGTTTGTGTGCAGGGTGGGGCCTCTTTTGCGGGAATTTTTTGGTATCGCGATCGCCGAGGAAGATGAATTGATCGGCCCACGTCTGTCGCACTAGTATCGTCGAATTTATATCTTTTACATCCGATTTATCGCCCGTGAATTCGATCGACTCCGAGACAGCTGCGGGGAGGACAGCCATGGAGGACGACTTGCCGACCGAATACGATGTGGTCGTCGTAGGAACAGGTATTGATTTTTATCAATACGAGAAAAAAATGAATCGGCCCGTATTCGCCAGGAAACGAATTTTTTTCGTCAATAATCAACTTTCGCTATCATGATTCCCGACAGGTATGACCGAGTCCATCGTCGCCGCGGCAGCAAGCAGAATCGGCAAAAAGGTTCTGCACCTGGACAGGTAATGCCCGGCCGGCACTTATTTTTTTCTATCTCCTCCTGCATCGTTAATTATTATCAATTTATATATACTCAATATATGTAATTGTAAAAAGACGATTAATATATTCATTGTCTCATTAAATACTAGAAAATGTCAAAATTATGAAAGAATTATGCTATTAATATATCATTAATTGCTGTTATAATTTTATAATTAAATATTAAATATTTTTTTAAAATATAAAAGAAAAAAAAATATATTATATATATATATATATATATATATATATATATACATATACTATACATATATATTTATTTATTAATATGTAAGTATACCTAAAAAATTAAATATAGAAAAGATAAAGTAATTTTATTCATATATTTGAAAAAAGAAAAAATCATGATCTCTCTTTTATCTTGAATTTTTATCATTTTATTGCCAAAGATAAAGAGATCTATATACATTTCTTGGAATGGTGTTAATTATAAGTTATTTTATAACTAAGATAATACGAAAGATAAACATTGCAAAAGCTATATACTAACCAAGTATTATTTTTTAATTTAGCAACGAATATTATGGAGGTCTTTGGGCTACATTTAACTTTGATGGCTTACAAAAATGGATAGAAGATTTAAAAACAGCTAAGAATAACACTAGAAATATAAATGTTGATTTAGAAGAGGGTGAAAAATTTTTAAAGGCTAGTGATCAATATTCTACAGTTGAGAATATCGGAGAAACTTGGTATATTTCCAAGTAAGAAGTGAACATATAATTACATTAATTGCTTGATGATTTTTAAATTAAATTAATTCAATTAAAGTTTTCTTTTTATTTCTGCATAGTGATGCAGATTTACCTGATGTTTCCTGGAAAGATACTCAGACTGAGAGTTCTGGAGATAGCGCCGCAGCCGAAAGCGCGGAAAAGACTGATCAGGACAAGGCTGACAAGAAGGAAAATGTGAAACAATGGAGCATAGATCGTATAAAAAAAGAATACAGAAGATTTAATATTGATCTGGCACCTAAAGTAAAATTGTTATACATGTGTAACAAAACAAGAAAATATATATATATATTTATTTTCAATATTTAATATATTTTTATTACAGCTACTATTTGCCCGTGGCGAATTAGTAGAACTATTAATTTCTAGCAACATTGCACGTTATGCCGAATTTCGTGCAGTTTCTAGAGTTGCCACTTATATGGATGGTAAACTTACGCAAGTCCCTTGCTCTCGAGCCGATGTATTTGCGAATAAAACTGTTAGCGTAGTGGAGAAGAGAATGTTGATGCAACTTTTGACATCTTGCATGGAACAAGGAGCCGATAGTCCAGAGTTTGATGGTATGTATGAAGATATTAAGTAGTTTCTTGACTTATTTCATTTCTGGTTTAATCTGGATCTATAATCTATCTCATTTACTTTTTAGGTTTCCGTGATAAAACATTCTTAGAATATCTTAATACGAAAAATCTTACACCTATAGTACAGCATTATGTTGTACAAGCTATTGCAATGGCAACGGATAAAACATCATGTAGAGATGGTGTTAATCGTACGAAACATTTTCTCAATAGTCTTGGGCGTTATGGAAATACACCCTTTTTATGGCCTATGTATGGAAGTGGAGAGCTGCCTCAGTGCTTTTGCAGGTACATTTTATGAAGATGTCAAACTTTTTTTACTAATAATTAATTATAGTGTTGTAAAAATAATTTTTTCCTGTATTATTTTAGACTATGTGCAGTTTTTGGTGGAGTTTATTGTTTGAAAAGACAATTAGATGGTGTGGTAGTTAATGAGGATAAATGCAAAGCTATTATTACTGGGAAACAGCGATTAGCTTTAGAGCATTTAGTTGTAGGGCAAGGACACTTGCCACCGGAGATTGTAGCCTCCGAGGGAGAAAATCAAATATCACGCGGAATTTTTGTCACTGATAGGTATTTCCTACATTTTATACAGTTTAAGAGCGAATTTTTATACAGTTTAAAAGATAATTATGTATAATATTACACATATATATATACACGCACATAATACATTTTATTAATGTTATTTGTTTTTTGCAGGTCAATTATGCAAGGCGAAAAAGAAAGTCTAACTCTTTTGTACTATCCGCCAGAAGAACAAGGCCAAGAACCTGTTACGCTAATTGAATTGGGACCATCCACCAATGCTTGCCCTCAAGGATTATGTATGTATAAAATTAATGTGAATACATTTTAGAATTGCTTTGTGTTGGTATCATGTTTTTTCTTTCTTTTTCCTAGTCATGGTTCATATGACATGTAAACGTACTAAGAATGCAAAGGAAGATTTGGCATATGTCGTGAATAAATTCCTAAGAGCTGAACCACTTTATTCCACCAATGCTGTACGTAATTTATCTGATTCTCATACCCAGACGGTCTCTCCTGATAAACGACATCTTCAGGTAATAAAAAAATTTATACATATATACACACACACACATGTGTGTGTTTTATTTACTTATTAAAAATAAGACTATGATATGATTTAATCGGTTTCTTTTTAATAATTATATTAGATTGACCAACAAGAAAAGGAAGAAAGTCCGCTAGAATATCCGCTACCTCAAGTATTATGGTCCTTATATTTGAATTTACCTGCAAGCGATATTAAATTAAGCAACTCTGCGCCGAGTAACATACACTTATGTTCTGGGCCAGATCTTGAACTCGATTTTGACTTTGCTGTGAATCAGGTATAATAATCTGCTAAGAATAAAATCTCGTACAGTGTAATATAATAATATAATATATTCACTTATTTTAAATTGTATTAAATATTCTTTTTTTTATTACTAGGCCAAGAGTATTTTTGAGTCTATGTATCCAGATGAAGATTTCTTACCACGTGCACCTGATCCAGAGGAAATCGTTTTGGAAGGCGATGAAACACCAGGCCCAAAATTTGAAGGTGGTGAACCTGCAGAAGGTGAAGAGAAACAAGACGTTGAAAAGGCCGAAAAAGAAGAATGAATAATTATCATACAATGCTTTTGCGTCTTCAATATCGAAGAAAAAATGAGGCTTTTGCGCCTTTAGTGTCTTTTATCTTTATCGTTACTGCATTTCCTTATAAAACATATAAAATTAAACATATTTAAAAAAAAGAAAAATTACAACCATGAGATACCATATGAGACAGTAATAACGAGGAGAAATTTCATGATATTTATCTTTGAATTTATATACGTTATTTTTCGTGTATTTAAAATATTTTCATCATTGAATTGCGTATCTCCAATTTATCTCACACCAATATAGATAAATATTTTCGCATTTCACATTTAATTCATAATATAAGCAGTTAATATTATGCTTTTGCAAGGACACAGACTCGTTAGGAGAGCACAAATGCGTTTATCAAAGTAAATATAAATTTACCATGTATTTATTATGTCTTAATGTTATTCATTTTATTTATATAAATAATTTTTTTATGCAATTGAATATTATATAGAAAAAATTCAAATACATTTTGAAATTTACTCTAAGTAGATGTAGCACTCGTAATCATTAGATTCAAGATATACATACTCTATAGATCACATAACGGCAGAAATAAAAATACAAAAATATGGCGTCACGCTTTTATACTTCAATAGATATTAATGGTACACTGCAATTATATATAATATATTGTATGTGCACGAGTCATTTAGATAATCGTCATTATATATTGAGATTGTTAGTTTGTATTATGTGCATTATACAAATGAATATGTTATCTTCAATGCACTTGTCTCGATATATCTGTAATAAACGTGAAAAAAAGTGCGCAATTTAAACTCGGTTGAAATGAATAATTTATTAACAGTTTAGTGCACAATTGTCATTCTTAATGCATTATGTTAATAAATAATTTTTTCAGTAATTTTATATCAAACAAAAGAAGGAAAAAAGAAAAACATCGATTATTTTATCTAATTTATATTTATGTATATAATTATGAACGTGGTTGTACTCATCCAACGTGTTTGTGGGTTAAATAAGATCACAATTTAAAATGATTTTTAGATTTATTTTCAAACACAAATCATCTTAGTCTACTATTTATATATCCTATAATTTAATTTTATAAGAAAGCAATTAATGTTTTATTTATTTTAAAATTCTCCTCTGTATAACAAATGATATACATATAATGTAAAATTTCACAGTATAATAATTATCAATATAGCATTTTCTTTTCTTTGTTAAAAGAATTCGTGGCTGTGAGAAATAGCATTTTACTTTGTTATTTTAATACTTAAACTTATTTTAAAAGTTCTAAGCACAAATGTAAACTCATCATTTTTTGAGACATATATGAGCTTTAAAACTCAACCAATAAACAATTTTACTTTATATTTTAGTACCATAATATTAATCATATGCACTGATACTAAAATTAAATATACAAAAACTAAAGTTAATCATTTTAATTTTTTAGAAGCTCACATATTCTTTTTTATTTTATAGATATACTTATCTTCCCCTTATCATATATTTTCATAAGATTACAACAAATTAATTTATACTATAAATCTTACAAATACATAAGTATGTTAGTGGCTGCGTTCAGTAGAAAAAGCTGCTTTACTGTTGTAAAATTCGTGAATCTAATAGGCATATGTTCCTAATTTTGGCTGAATCTAAGAACATACATTAATCAGAATTGCAAAGTAGCTTTTTCTGTTGAAAGCAGAAGCTACTTATTATTACTCTTTTGTTTAATATATATATATATATATATATATATATATATATATATATATATTATTTAATAATACAATAAAAATTAATGAACATAAATATAAATTTTTAAAGGGATATTGTGTTGGGTATGCAAATAGCATTTTAAATAAATTAACTTCTTTGTAATATATTCTTGTTTACAATGTTGCTACATAAATGTTATATTTAATTATAGAGCATCTTTTTACAAAACTATATACTGCTTTCATAAACAAATTTTTTATTTATGCACATATTAGTTCCTATTAAGCTAATTCTATATTCAAAAAACTAATAGATTGTCATAAAAAATTGTATGAACTAATACAATTTTCGATTATATGTACAGTTGTAATAAAACTTGTATTTTTTGTTCCTTTTTCGATATATATAGATAGTTCGCTACATTTTTAATATCAATTTTATAATACATAATGCAAATTACAATCAAGATCTAAAATGTAAGAGCATTTTAATTTAGGATGAGTGCTCTTTCTATCCATGAATATTCTTCCCCTTTGTTTCTTATTAAAATAAACCATGATTTATGATTTTAAAAGAATATTTGTATTTAATATTTCTTATATATAATATTAAAAGAAAAAGGATTTTTAAGATTTAGAATAAAGAGTTCATTAAGTTTCATATATATATATATGACAGTAATTTTTAATTATATGTCAAGTATTTCAGAAAAGAAGTTTACAATAAGAAAAAAATATCATAAATATGTCCTTTAAATTTTATTCAAGATATAATAACTTAAAGAAAATGCTATATATATATGACTTATATCAACTTTTCACATATATATATATATATATATATATATATATATATATATATATATATAATATCAATATTATTATATCATTTTTCCAAATTATATATTTATTTTCTACATAAAATGACATATAATAAAAAAACTGCACAAATTCCAACTTGATAACAACAGATTGTCAGTTTTCAAAATTTAATCAGCCTTTGATCTACAATCCAGAATATTTTACTTCTGCCATAGTAACAATTTTACAGATCTGCATTTTAATATCTGCTTGTACTTCTCTAGGCAAATTCAATACAGTCTGTGCCATACTTGCAAAAAATAATTCGATACTATTCTTATGAGATATAGATGTTATCTTAGTACACAAGCTTTTACCATTAGTCATAGCATTCAAATTTGCATTTATATTTTTATTAATTTTGCATTCCTTAATTGTTGGCATAATATTTCCAGTATCACTATTATCTGTTCTAATGCAATGATTTATTTTGTTGGAATTATCCAAAATTTTATTCTTACTTGGCACAGTCACATTTGATGTTAAAGTAAGCATATTCAGCATAGATGGTATTCCAAATGATTTATGTCTTAATGGAGCACCAGGTGGTAAAGGTTTTGGTCGTATAGGGCGGAAACGGTCTTTCCGCAATTTTAAATCTGTTGTGGAATAATTTAGTTTTGATGTTGAAGATTGCAACTTTGTGAGATGTAATGACTTTTTGCTGCGTCTCTCTCTATGTTTTGGCAAAACAGTAGTATATTCCTCTATCGGAGAAGTCAAATCAACTGTTAGAGTTTCAGTATCAAAATTTTGTTCACATTTCAACTCGACTTTCACAATATCCTCGTCAATTTCTTCCAATGCTTCATTACAAACTACTTTGCCATTATCTTCCATCTTTTGATTATTGCACATTAAACTTTACATTAAAATGATTTGATTTCTTCTTATTTTTGACACTATAACAAAAAAACATTATATTGAAAAATATAACTGTTAAATAAATAAATTATATTAATTAAGAACAAGATTTTCATATATGCGTTAACTTTCAAATACACACTCATATATATTTTGCATAATTTTTAGTATATTAGAGTTTTAATGTTAACAAAATTTAATTAATAATAATAAAATTTTTTTGTCGTCACTAATTAAATCATCTTTCCAAATAATTACTTTTTACTTTTAATACATTTTTTTATATTTTATTTTTGTAAAAGAATAAGAAAAAATTTTTAATCCTTTTATAGAACATACTTCGAAAAAATTTTCATTTCTATCTTTTACAACTATTCGAAAGAGTAACTTTTAAGAATCTTATTATTTATTCACATACACAAATACGATGTTATGAAATCAGACTTGCCAACTTGTTAAAAGAAGAAGTATAGAGAAAGGCCAGAAAGGCTGGCACACAGGACACAACATATCTATACTATATATATAGGCATATACTATACATATTTGGAGCGTTTGATTAATCACTCAGGATAAAAGGAGTAAGGATTTCTTTGGCCGGTATTCATAGTCCGATCTTATATTTGAGATCGTCTTAAGTTCGAGCTTGAAATGCAGCTATTTGATTGGTTGAATAAGGTCTTAAGTGAACCTCGGACCAGACTTAAGACAATCTTAAATATAAGATCGGACTATAAATACCGGCCTTTAACCTGATTAGTCAATCAAACGCTTCAAAGCATCTTCAGCGGCTGCGTTCAGCAGGAAAAGCTGCTTTGCAACTGTTGTAAAATTCGTGAATCTGATTGGTGTATGTACTCTTAGATTCAGAGTAAAATTAAGAGCTAAAATTAAGAGTATATACCAGGCTCACGAATTTTACAGCCGTTGTAAAGCAGCTTCTGCTGAACACAACTATTGTCTCTTTGACCGCAGCCATAATATAGATGCTGTGGACTGTGGCTTTACATTGATTGTATGTATGTATAACAGTTTGTTAGACGTACTGATTGGCTATCGAAGATGGACTATTTCTCGTGTCCCAAAAGTTCCTTGCAGTAGCAGTCAATCAATACATTCGACGAAGCTTGTTATTCAACGAATATAAAAGCACTACAAATATCGATGTTAACAATTTACATATATCAATGTGATGCATATTATAGAAATATATAATATGTTAATTGAATATAATATATAATATATCAATCCATTATATTAATTTAATTTAAGAAATTCAATTTATGAACAAAAGTTAGAATATTCTACTACATTATGATTTCTCCGATTCGTAATGTATGTATGTATATGTATGTATATACATATACATACGTATTATTTATGCTTCATTGATGTTTGTCCAAATTTCGTTAGTGAGAGATTGGTGCTATCGATCCAATCGGTGGGTCTTGCCATTTAAATTCCTCTTGATAAGTAACGTAAACTACCCAGTAGCAAACGTTAAGTAGGCCAAAAGAAGCGGGAAAGACTATTCGCGCAACTCTGTCGATGTAAGACACACTATTTATGTGTCTCGATATACGATCACCGCATTTTCGATAGCTACTGGTTACTTCTCGTTGTCGACGGCGTCTGTAACATTTAATATTAATTATATTAACATATTTAATATTAATATATCTTATGTTTATTATGAATATATATTTATGTATATATTAATACAAATAATACAAATAATATAAATACACTGTTAACTATTTATAATAATATATGTATCTAATTATATATAGAGCAATTTTCCTGCAAGCCTTTATAAATCATTCAAATCATTATAAATGATTCATTTATAAATAATTCAAATAATTTATTATTATAAATAATTCAAAATACGAACATATTTTTCTGCACAAGCAATAATGTATACCTGAAAGCATCATCTCCTGCTAAACAATAAAGAAATTGTCGCCATAATGGTAAAATAAGCTCAGTTTGTGTCTGTCTTTCCATCGTCGACGGCTTTGAAGAAACGGCGACTGTGATAGATCGACAGGAATCTTTATAAGTGACTCCATCCTGCCGAAAGCAAAATTCGAATATATTAATAGAACATTACAAAATGCGTCCTATCTAATTCTTTCTATTATGTAACATAATAGAAAGAACTAGATAGGACGCATCCAAGAAAAAAAATATTATATATATAAGAAAAAAAAGTTATTGCAATAACAATTCTTTAAGTAATTCTTTAACTTTTTACTTGTCAAATATTTAATCGTCACTGTCACTGCCACCGCTATTACCGTGTTTCAAAGAAATATAATAATTTTTATTGATATTTCCAACTTACGCTATATATTGTAGATATAAGAGACCCACGTCTTCTGGTACTCGTGTCACCGATTTCCGGATGATCAGTCTGAGGACTGCAAGAAATGATTGTGCCAAATGTATCCTCGAATTCTTCATTCGTAATGCCTTCCCAATCTTCCCATTCTTCATCATCCAACGGAATCTCGCCGCTACCAATCTGCAAATTAATAAATTACATGCATTAAGTTAATATAATCTTTTTATATAAAGCAATATTTACATAAAACGTATTTATATTTACAAGGCAAATATATATGTAGATTTTTTTATAAAAATCAATTTTTTTCAGTGTTCTATACAAAAAAAATATTATTCTATACAAAAATTCTATACAAAAAAAATATTAAAATAGATTATATATATATATATATATATATATATATAAAATATTGTGATATAAAATATACATAAAATATAAAATATGTAAAATATTCTATCTTAATGATTTTATATTATTTTATTATTAATTTTATAATTGTTATATAAATACTTTCATAATATTTAATTTTCAAAATATTTAATTTTTTTTTATCATAATTGAAAATTTAGTATACATATATTCTCCTTTTTATTGGAATACAATCAGATGTTTGAAATATCGAAATTGTACAATATTCATCACCTTCGTGAAATAATGAACACCAGCAAATTCTAGAAGAGTAGCGATGCAATAACCGAAACTCATTAAGAGAAACCAATCTAAAGCGGTAGCATATCTAACTTTCGGCAAATCTGTCCTAGAATCGAGGCTTATCGTTGATAGCGTCAAGACGGTAGTGATACCTGTAAAATTTATAATACAGTATTATCTACGAAAATTTGGATATTGTAAATATAGTATATTTAAAACCTATGAAATTTTCAAAATCTATAAAAGGAGGAAGAGAGAAGAAGATAAAAAAAATAGTAAAAATAATAAAAACAAACTTACAATTTTCTTTATAATAAGCAAAAGATTATGGAAATGAAATGTGAATCAAAAATAATCATATCAAATATATAAGTCATATTTATATTTCTGCATTGAAAGAAAGTTAAAAGATCTTATAGAAACTTACATAAGACATGATTGAATTGATTAATATAACTTTTGACAATTTTTAACTTTGTATTATATATAAATATATATAAATAAATATATAAATATATATAAATAAATATATTTTAAACAATATCAAAATAAACTTGAAATAAATATATATAAATCGCTAGAAATTGAAAAGAAAAAAAGTTTCAAAGATTCATTTTAAAGAACATACCTAAACCTACTCGATCACTTGTTGCCTCACGATGAATCCAAAAAGATACCCAACTCAATACAACTATCAAAACACATGGTACATAAACCTGTCCATATATAAAATCTTTTTATTTATTTATATATATTTTATTAATTGATGTGGAACAAAAAGACAAATTATTGTTATAAGTAAACATTTTTTTTATGGTAATCACTTATAATTTACGCATGCTTACTTGTATAAGAAAGTATCCGGTATGTCGCTGCAAATTGAAAGATACTTGCAACACCGAAAACTCGCCCTCGCGACGAACAAATGTGAGATTTCTATATGGCGAGCCCATTAAATCGAATTGCGAAAGCGCCATTCCAGGTACAAAATTAACCGATGAACCTTCTTTCCCTTCTTGCCCTTCTTGCCATTCGTAAACTAGTTGTCCCGATGTGTACGCATCTAATAAATACATGAGTAATATTTATTATTACGCAAGAAATGTAAACGAATACATAGAGAAAAACCAATGAAAGATCCTTTAACTTAAACATTATAGTATTCGATATAATATTTATTGGCAAAACATCTTATTTTAAAATTTATTTTTAGCAATGCAATTAATTGTGATCTTTCAAACCTTCCTCTTAATTAAAGAAAATTGTTTCAATGAAATATATAGAAATATATAAGAAAAATCAAAGAGATTCATATTTATTTTAATAATATTTAAATAATATCATTATAATTTAATAATATTTAAATAATATCATTATATAAAAATATTTCATTACAATATTTCATTTAATTTGGCTTAAATATTTAATAAACAAACAATTTAATAATAATTAGTGTATCAAATATATGGTATTTTATATTTAAATATATATCAATCTCAAACATCCAAAAAGATATATTTCTTGACTAATTCTTGACTAATATATATTCTTGTATAACATTTGATTCAAAAATTTCTTCGCTATCTGAATATCAATATTTTAAATCACGGCTCTCGATTTAAAAAAGTTCGACGCTCTCTTATGATAATAAATTCTGATATTACATCGCATGATGGTCCTCGGTGCCAGCTGTTGTGACAGAAAGTGGAACCACCAGAGGCACTGTAAAACCGAAATGTAAAGGAATATCGAATTTATTGCAATCATAACTTCAGCGTAGACGATTTCGAATGCTCATCGAAAGCTAATATGAATGGACATTATGAAGCAACATAATATGAGACGTGCGATAAAATATGAGTAAAGTGTTATCTTTCCTAGTTTTTTATTACGTTTCTATCAAGTTCAAATTCAATTTAGTGATAATGCATAAAAATATTTTGTGTTAGCCAAGCATTTATAAATTGTAACTTAAAAAATTAAAAGGAAAAGCCGCAATATTATCGATCAAGAAAAAGATTGTCTAATAATTTATTTTATTCTATATAATTAAAATTTTTTATATTTTCCACATTTTTCCTAAGATACTAAATAGTTATTTTGTTTGAAAAATTAATACGTACAGCTTCCCATTATCAATGGACAAAATTGCCGATCCATAGGAAAATTTCTCAACTCCATAGGACATTTAGCCTTGATAGTAAGTCTGCACAAGACAATACTTTAAACTACTAAAAAAGCGGATTTTTAAAAAAATTTTGCGACATTAATATATAACAATTTGTGCAATTTCGCATTATATAAAATTAAGAGATATCAATATTTAGAAATTTACATGTATGATCTTTCTCTTTTTAATTTTATATTATTATCTTCTTGTCATATAATATGAATGATGGCTTTTTTAAAATTTATTTATACAAATTTAATTTACCTATTATAATTACTTTGAGAGCAAAAAATTATTACTACGATTTTCTTGTGAAAAAAAAAAATATATATATATATATATATATATATATATATATCAAGTTTATAATTAAATTTTTCTATCTGTTGATGCAATAACGCAAAAAAATTCGAAAATATCTAATTAGAATTAACAAAATCACGCGATTTAATATTTAATGTGTACATTCACAAGCAGACAGACCTCATGGAATACAATATATCGCCGTCCTGGGAGATCCTTAACAATTTGTTCGGTACGGTGATCGTATGTACGTAACTATGCTTGCCATTGTAAAAGTAAGTATCAGGTCGCCAGATTCTCTCGAGCATTTTGATGCTGAGGCTGAGAGATTTGATTGGACCCAGAAAACTCAAACGCGAATCGCGCCATGATTGTCGAAAATAGCAATCCATCGAATAATCCTGGCGGAATAATTTTCAATACGATTAGATTCGCTATCGGATAGGAATTTATCTATTAGAAAGTATGGAATGCATGTTACAATAAATGACTGATTAAAGAAAATATTACTATATAATCTAATTTTTATAATAAATTTATATGATCTCTCAAATATGTGTGTATGTTGCATATCTCATAGATTTTTAATTTTAATGTGTTTTATGTTATTAACATTAATGATGTTAACATTTTAATTTTGTTAAAAATTAATACTATCTAAAATTAATAATGAAAAAGAATGTAAAATAATGATTATTATCTAACGATCATTAGTTGTAGTAAATAATTGATCTTCAACTTTTAATACATAATTATACAAATATTTTACGGAATACAACATATTTATATTATTTTATGTAAACGCAAAAAAAGACATTTAAAAAACTTTAATGCAATCTATCTTTCCTAATAAAAAAATCCGCAACTTACCATATCGAGCTCGGACACTGGACCCATACTCCTAATTAGGATATTTGTTTTTACCACTGTGGGCATGCCTGAAAAAATATATGATATAACTAATATTAAAACTTTAATATACATTCATAATTTCTAAAATGTCAATATCAGCATTTTAAAGAAAATTTAGAATAATAGCTTTTTAAAAAGAACAATAATACTATCATAATTATAAATAATTCTATTCAGATTATTAATTAGGAATAAAATTTTATCTCCCTGAATTCTTGGAAATTTAATTATCCTCCAATATTTTCCGTAATAGACTCTGCAATTAGCGCAAGTATCGAACATAATGCACAAATGCAATTTCAATGTTTCAATAACCGCAATACAACATCATTTGTCACATTGTAATATTAATATCAATATTGACTGTATGCATATACTTGTATTCTATTTCGTATTATTTACTCAATTCTTTAAAAAAATACATCTTTTAAATTTAAATATTAACGAAGAAGATAAAATATATTATATAATATAAATATATTATAAATATATTAAAAATATTAATAATTATAAATAATAATATATATTATATATAATAAATTTCCAAAAGGTACATCTATTAACAAAAAAAACAGCAAAAAATAATATAAATGTAAATTTGTATTTGAAAAAGTTTTTTTTACATGTATATTTTTTTAAACAAATGTTCTGCATCTAAAGAAAAAAATATGACATTTTGTCTGATTATTTATATGCATTATTTTAATAAGTTTCGGATGAGGAAAAAGAATTACCGAAAATTGCAATTGTATATTATTATAGAAAAAATTTCGCACACACATCTCTCCCAATTTATTTTACCTTTATCATGCGTAGGCAGTTGACTATTTTCGTAATTCATCAATAGATTCTCGAGGACCATAGTGATGTTCTTCGAGACAATATCGTTCACGGTAGCCCTAGGTATCCTGCTGTTGATCATCAACATCGATTCCAACGATCTGGACGACGACGACGTAAAATTCGATATTGCTTTGATTTCAAATGCGTAAAAACGATACTTGCACACAGTGAGTGACACGAGAACGACGAAGCTACGCACATAATTCACAGATATATTTGTTACTTTATCGATGATGAGACTTGTAATATTATTACCTTTACATGGAATTTATGTAGAATCTTCACACAGAATTAAACGATATCGCGCAAAACAGATTGAATTTGAATGTTGCATTTATGAAGCATGGAATTATATTAAAAGTCGCTTATATTCTCCTGTACATAATTGATCGGTTACTCCTCCTCCCAAAAGATATAAATTTCATATTTTATTAAAAAAATTTAATTGATCTATTTTAATAAAAATTTAATTTACCTGATTTAAAGGAAATATTACTGACAATTAAACTTTTGCATTTTCAAGAGAGAAAATTCTGTTAATTAATATAATAATGTTATACATATATACATATTGATAATTAAATTAAACAAATTAGAAGTTTATTAAAGTAAAAAAAAAATGTTTTTAAAAACCCATTTTTTTACTTGATTGTGTAAAAAAATAAATTATTATATATATTTATTCGAATTTTTAATATAATTGTTAATTATGTTGAATTGCATAGTATTTCCAATTTTTTACAACCTAATGAGATATAAATCAAATGTATATTACTTGCATTCATATTTATTCCGATTTATATATGTATTACATCTTTTGCTTTTAAATTATATTTTTATTCTTTTGTATTTGATCTATACAAACAAATAAAATAAATAGACAGAAAATATAATTTTTTAAATATTTGAAATTAACGAATTGAAACAAAATATTTGAAGTAGACGGATTAGAAAGATATATCACGTACATGATAACATTTAAAAAATTGTAAATGGAATATATAATATATATTTTAGTAAAGATTGATAATATTACATTCAGCATTCTAGGTATTATAGGTAAATGAGTCTTAAATGTCGATAATTGAAATTCATTAAGTATTCAGTGGGCATGAGTGCATTTTTACGATCGTGTAAATGAAATCGATCATCGTAGTTGCTCGATTCGCCTCTAAATTGATATTCTATCCTATCGAGAGAAATTCATCCCAAGCCATATCGATTACGCATGTACTTTAATCCTAAAGAGAACTAGTTAATACCCGTCCTCAGTTTCAAATTTTTATAATATCTCCGTTGTAATATGAGAACATTCCTTTACATAATTAATATACTGCGTGCAATATTTTTTAAATTTTTCACATGAGAGTTCACAGAAAATTTAAATTTGCATAATATTTCCAATTTTTTATAACCTAATGAGATATAAATCAAATATATATTACTTGCATTCATATTTATTCCTATTTATATATGTATAATATCTTTTACTTTTAAATTATATTTCTATTCTTTTATATTTGTATGCAAATAAAAATCATCCCATGTACAATTAAATAGAGCAATACATCTTATATCTATTTATCTATTTTTAATCATTCAAAAAAATCGTGCACTGAGTTATCCGTCGATTTTCACTCGAAAACTTGAAAGATGCGCACAATATTCAAAACTTCTCGAATAATGTAACATGATATAATGACGACATTAATGTTACAAAGATATTACAAGGAGTTATGTGGAGCATGCTCTTTCTCTCGCTCATCTCTATTGTCCACATTCCCTGTCGTCCTTTCGACATAGCCACCACGAAATAGCATCGTCCACGTGCCAGAACTTTCATGCAGGGATCAAAATATTTCTCTGTGCAGGAGTCAGATAAGCTGCAGTTCGTAACACATATGTGAAGATATTCGCCTGCTAATTGTAGCGGAATCTTATTGTGCGCGATCTTCCGAAATCTTCCGAAAAATTTTCTACAAAATGTTTTGCAAAGCAATATGTAAAGAAAAATTTTGATACTGCAACATATGCACAATTTTAAGCAAGAAACGTATGACACTTTATAAAAAATCTTACAGAAAAAGAGCACATTGAGAAAAATGCACGCTGAGAATAAGTTATATATGTATTTATTCGTCGTCCGAATGTATTGATTGGATTAATAATATTATTGAATTAATAAAATTAATTCCACGGAATTAAACTGATATTATTGATTCAACATTATTTTTTTCTCAGTGCAGTGTCTTACAAATCTTATCAGATTGAATCTTACAAATTAGAGAGACTCCAGTAATTTTATAACTCCGAAATTTTGCGTATAAAAAGATTTGAATTCATAATATAATTATTCACCATATCATATAATTATATTCATTTTATGAAATTATGATTCACAATGTTATGACTTGATACTTTGTGTTCGTTTTTAATTTTCACCATAGAGGACTCGAAATGCTGTAATAAAGTCGCAAAAGGAGTAAACGATGAGCATCACTTGATTTAAGGTATAAAGCGAGGCTGGAATTGTGGCGCGGCGGAAAAGAAAAGTGGACGAAAGTGCCTCTTGTTATTCGCCGATTCAGCAATATCCATAATCGACGAGGGTTCGTATCATTGTTTCGAGAGAACGTTACGCCTTGTTACATCACAATCTGTGTTGTGAGAGTGTATGCGCATTTTACTTCTAATTTTTGGACCGTTTAAACTATATGAAATTTTGAATGATAGCAGTAGAACATAGATCACATTTTGTTTCATCGAAATTGGTGAAATCCTATCATAAAAAATAATCATGGGACAATAAATTTTAATCCTTCAATCAACCGTCAATGTAAAATAATTGTAAATAAAATAATCAAGTAATTATATCACTATATTAATTACTTCAATCGGATGACTTACAAAAAGATGTGCGTCTAGATGTTCGACGTTTATATGAATAATAACTTGTTAAATATGATTTGATTAAGTTCAAAGAATAATTAGATTTCCTGTGATGGCTGCCTTGAAATCTGCTCTTGAAATATTCAGATGCTTTTACAAGTTCCGCGATCTACGCATACGTTTATAATTGCTTAAGATGAAGCATCTTTGAGTTTCATGCGTCAGAAGCGCTGGCTTTGACATACAACGATTGAGATTTTTATTCGTTCAAGATTCAAAACGTTTGTGAATACAAAATATAAAATAATGATTATATTAAATGAATTAAAAGCGACTAAAAAACAATTAGCGATACTATAGTTTTCCATACAACATAGAGTATTATTCGAAAATAATTTTTTCTTCATACGTTACCCGATTTTTAAAATAATCTTAATTAAGACACATACGCATTAATAATATTGAAAAACGCATTATAATTATTTAATAATGATGTAAAATTATTTTTAACAATTTATGTATCAACATATTTTAGTTATATATTTCTTTGTATAATTTCAAATTGTATAATTAAAGATTCTTATAAGAAGGCACAATGAAATAGGCAAAATATAATTATTATAAAAATTAACATATAAAAAAAAAATTGAAAATTCTATATATATTTGATAGTTTGTCTAATATAATTGAGAGCTCTATGTACTATTGATAGCTTTATATATGTTTCAAATATATTATAAATTTTTATTAATTAATAATTTTAACAATTTCATTTTTAATTTTATGCACGCAAAAATAATAAAATCTTTATGATTTTAATATCAAATCTGTTTTATAAGATTACTTTAAAAAAAATATCTACTTCAATAATATTAAGCTCTGAAAAATTAAGCTCTAAAAAATGCAGGTACGAAAAAGAGACTTTTTGCAATATGTGACAATATGTACTCTCTATTATAAAATATATATAAAATAAAAATATGCATTTAAGAGATGCGTATTAATATGTCGCAAGGCGCAATGTTTTTTTTTTTATATTACAAAATTACATTTTACTCACAATGATAGTTCTTTTGATGTCATCTTCGATATTGATTTAGTTGATCTTTAGACCCACTTGAAAATTCCAAGAATGAGCTCGTACTTGTCGATGATGCCGATGAGTTTGACACTCGTCACGAGATGCTACAGGCCATTGCGGCGGCCGCGTGGATCTTTCTGCCGCGAACCCCCTAAGACACGGACTTTCAAGCGGAGTTGCGACGCGCAAGTCCCGAAATCACGCCGTATCGTATATAGTGCTTATTATTCTTTAACGCTATGCGTGTTCGCGATTAGCGCACAATAAACTTGAGATTTGAATAATTGGCAGTTTAATCATTTTTTAATCCTCTTCGCTCTCGTATATTTGTACGATTACAGAGAATAATTTCAAAATCATAAACATAAAGTTTATGCCACTATTATGTATTTCTATTAACTTAATAATAATTTTAAGAAAATTAAAATCGAAGATTTTAATATCGAACATTTTCATGTTATGTGTAAATTGAAGAGAAGGGTTTTTATACTCATTAAATCTTAACTAGTAAATAGAAACGTTATCTTTCTCTCTTTCTCCTTTTAATTTTATAATTGATATATACAAGAATTCAATTTTTAATAAGATTTTATTTCATAAAAGAAAGAAATAAAATTTTACTTTATATTTTAATGCACACATCATTTCTGATAATTAATGTTATTAAATCGTTTGTAAGATGTCAGAAAGTACCATATTTGATTCTGAGATTATACAAAGTACACCTGCAATCAACGAGATACACGCGTCACTGCTCTCGTCAAATCATATTAAACTTCAAGCAGCTACCAAATTTAAACACGTTAATTAGGAAGTTTCCGGGTGTGTTTCTGATCGTGTCATGTTACAGCTAAACTATGCTTTATTTAGAAGGATTGCTTTCATTTCCATTCAAGTGGAAATTATATGAAGAACAATCTAAAGCAGGAGCTCACTAAATTGTACGAAATCTACCCAACTTATGCAATTAAAATAATCGAAATAAATTATATATCATATATTATTAAAAACAATATATATATTTATAATATAATTCGTCAAAATTTTTGCATATAACAAATCATACATAGATAAATTAATAAAATAACTAATAAAATTTAATATATTTTTAAAAGTAATTTATTATTTTTTCGTCAATATATATCTATTAAAATAATATTTAAAAATGTATGCGTGTATGTACTTCTTTTTGAAAGTTTTGTTTTTCAAAAATTGAGTTTTGCAGAAGCAATTCTTGATTTGGAAGCAGTCACTGGGAAGATATCAAAGCGTGATTTCTCACTTGAATTTTCTCGTGGACATTTCGAAACTGATCAAAACGTTTTTCAAGACGCCGGGCGTTGAAATGATTTCCGACCAACATCGATGTTCCGACAGGAAGACTCTTATCGTCCCTCGCAAAGGTAAGTGAACCTATCCTGCCGGTGGATGCCTCTTTGCTTATCGATTATAAATCCGCTATTACTCTATCATGCTGTCACATATGGGATGCTTTGCAAGTGTATAAAACATTAAAAGTAGATTTTTTAAATTTACTAAATTTAAGATGAAAAAAATTAAGGAGAACATACTATATATATATAATAATTTCTAAATAAATTTTTATAAATTCAAGCAGAATACCAATCTAATTTTTTATTTAATTTTAGATAAATTAATTGGATTATTATTAGACAAATTAATTATTATTTTAGACAAATTAATTATTAAGCATATTTAGCTTTATATTTATATTTTGAAAATTAAAATATGTTGCAATAAATTATGACAAGAATTTTTATTCAAGATTTTAATAAAGAATCTGTTTTTAATATTAGCCTCAAATCACATCTGTACACTTTTCAAAAATGCCCCAAATCTCGACAATTCACTTATCAGATAGTTTTGTCGTGATAATATGTGTGTGATATGATGCAGAAGAAAATCTTTAAGCTTAGCTGAGCACCTATTAATTAGATCTTATCTCCGTACCTATTTTTTACTCTTATTTTTAAGAGAGTCGCATTTAAAAACGTTATTTTCATTAAGATGTTACTCATTAAGATGAAACTTCCGTTGAAGATTGCTTAATAATTTTTGTATATTTTTTATATTATATTAAATTAATTTTTGTATATTTTTTATATTATATTTTTATATTAGATCATTATTATTAGAGGTAATAATACATGTAAAAAAATAAATAATTTAATTAAAAATTGTAATTTGTATTGTAAGTAAGTGTTTCTATCGCTTTTCTTTCTCGAGCTTCCTCTTTCCTTTGTTTTTCACATCAAAGCTTTGTCATGTCCTCGTGTTAAGAATAGTTGATTGGTCTTTGTTGATAGTTTGACCGCGCATCGTGAAATAAGTATCGATCATTTCTGTGATTCTTTCAACTCGTTACAACTCTCGAAGGTTAATGACACCTTCAGCCATATTCTAAGGATGTTGAAGAGAGGAGTGGTAATGGTGACGGTAGTGCTGTTCGATCGGTTCGCTCCGAAAATCCGATCACTGGCTGTGTGTCACTAGGTCGGCCGAGATAGAGAATATAGCGAGATAGGTATACCGTGCATGCGCGCAAGTCGCAAGGAAAGCCCGGGGAATGGTGACGAAAGACGAGGAGAGATTCTCGGAGGAGCAAAAGAGAGAAGCATCAAGGCGATCCAAGAGAACAGGCGTAAGAAGAGAGGGAAAAGAGGGAGATCGGATGCGAGGAAACGGGCAGAGGAAACATTCGGGGGTGGAATGGGGCGGTTGCACGTGAAAAAGTAGATGCGAGCGAGAGAGACGGAGGACCCGCGAAAACGAGAGCGTTGATTGAGGGTGGGCTGGAAGAGAGAGGAGGGTGGGAATGATAGAGATAGTAAGGTTGGCAGGTAGGAGCGAGAGGATGATTTCCGGAGTGAACGGAAGCGAGAAGAAACATATATTCGCGATGAGGGAGTAAAAGAGGAGAGGGAAAGAGAGAGAGAGAGAGAATCTGAAGAGAGAAATCGACAGTGGATCCGCGTTAGCTATCGAGGGATGAAAGGCAGCAAACTCCGCGAGACTAGTGGCGCACGGGAATACCTCGCGCTTTCGTATCTACCAGAGGACGTTGACGACGTTAACGTCGACGACGACGACGACGTGGAGGAGAACGAAGAGTGATGCTGACAATGAGCAACGATCAATGACGCGCTCGTGACAACACGTTCGGAGTCGCGAGTTCGACCGCGTCTCGAGAAGTAGTAACGCCGAATCCTGTGAACGCTGATAATAGTGAACCCCCGTGAACGCTGATAACGGCGGACCGATGTTCGAAAAATCACGATTCTGCGCTACGATCGATTTCGAAGTATCATGATGGGCCAAAGTGCGCGTTAACGATAACTCCTGTCGATAATCAAAGTGATAATCAAAGTGTAATATTCAGATATTTCCATCAAATTGACAATGAAATCGTCGCTTGCATCGTGATTTTCGTCGGATGCATCAGGTAATATGTATATGTATAATATAAACCTAAATTGTAGATAATAGATTTTTATAATTTTAGATAATTTTAGATAATTAAAATATAATTTTTATTAGCAAATTGTAAAGAGTTAACGATTTTTGTATAAATCGAGTTACATATTTTTGTATTTAAATGGACTATATATTTTTCAATAAATTAAAAACATTAGATCAAAATTTTGAAATGTAACATTGTATTTTTTGTATTGTTCTTTTAATAATTTAAATTTTAAATAATAATTTACATAAATATTTTTAAAATGTTATTTGTGTGTGATTTTATATATATATATATATATATATATATATATATATTTATTTATTTATTTATTTATTTATTTATTTATTTATTTCCAAATATAAAAATGTTTATAAATAATTTTAAATATTTCTTTAAACATGACAAATACAATATTAAAAACTACATGTTTGCAAACATCACGTATTACTGAATATCAGGTTGTAATAATTGATCATTTTTGCTTATTATACTATTACGTCTACATTTGTAACAATTAAAACGGTTTTTTCTCAATTTCCGAAAATATATTTATACCAAATCATTATTTCTCTTAGAGAAAAAATTCGCATAAATTTCTCATTTAATTTTTAATTAAAAGCGAAAATCAAATTAATGTATAAATTATTGAATAAAATATATATATACATTTATTTTTATTTGTAGTATATGTAGTTTAATATTGTTTATACTATCTATTATTATATTGTTTGTATGATATGCAATTAAATATAATTTTTATTGTACATTTTAATGGGATTATTTGGAGAATTAGTTATTAAATATAAAATATTATTATATATTGAGAAAGATAATATTTATATGATATTAGAACAGTATAATAAAGAATTTTATTTTATTTTATATTGGAAAACCAAGAAGCTACTTCATATTGCACTCGAATAAAATTATTATATAAGATATCATGTGTATGAAATATTTTTTGTCATCAAAATAAAACGCAAACATTAATAAAGTCAACCGAAGAGAGGAAACAAATCCTCTCGTCATTATTTATGGTATCTCATGACTAACAAATTGTTCCTCATCTTGATTGCCTCAGGGAATAATTGTATCAAGAGTATATAATATTGCATAGAATATATTTTATAACTTTTTTTTGTTGTTTAACGTATTCGTTGAGTTTACGGAAGCAAAAATCAGTTTTGTCGTGTGTGATCTTTGAATGGAAAGTGAATAATGTGTTGTAGGCGATATGTAGAGCATGTTATAGATTTTTATTTCGTGCATTGTATTGTATGCCATTGTAATGCTTTATCATGCCGGCCCATTTTGTTGTTTTACTCTTGAATCTGGTCAATCACTAAAATAATGTGGAGTTATATATCTAGTTCTTAATCAATCGATCTTCTATACATTCAGAAATTTAAAAAAATGAAAGGCATTACCTTAGAACTGAAAAATACATCAGAAAAATATATTATTTTTATATTCCTTTACTTTTATTGCATTTCTTGATTAACGTCAAGTGTCGCAATCTTTATCACTTTTCATTTGTAAATTTACATATCATATATCTGCATACTTATTATAATAATGAAACACTGTCAATATACTGTTCGGAAATAGTCATTGATTTTATCATTCTTCTTATCATTTTTCATCGTTTTATTACATATATCATTGATGAGAAAATTGAGAGGAAAAAATCAAATGTAAATAATAAATATTTACAGTCATATATAAAATTTAATTAAATTTGTACTTATTTTATGATTAATGAATTTCAAGAAAGCAGTATACATATCAGATCTTCCATATCTCGTTACACAAGAATTAAAAGTAGAACTTCTTGCGAATGCGGGGAGTTTTGCATATGTATTTGTTCTGCGTGCGGGATAACTCGAGGATGCGTAGAGTGAGAGTACGCGTGGAACTGGCATACGAAGGTCAAGGGCGGCGAGGAAAGAGTCCTACAGGATCTTTCCTTTCATCTACGATTTTAGAACGACGACGGCGGCGACGAGCCGGTTACGGGGATGCCGAGGGGATGCGAGGATACCGCGAGATGACGTTCCCCATCGTACTCGTCATTCACTGACGTAATCTCGATCGGATAACGAAGACGATTGGCAGGATGCTGCTGCGCGGGCTGCCGTTGATCGTCTTTCTCCTCGTACAGCTGCGTCACCGTGTCATCTGGTGAGCACCGTCATTCGAATTTTCCCCCCTAATATGAAAAATCGCAGTGAATAAGGATGCTTTTTCCACACATTGTAAGGTACATCGTGGCATGAATACGCAAAAAGTATGATTTCAATTTCCTATATGTAAGTGTATTCAGATATACCCTCGAGAAAAGCTCGTATGTGATATATAAATTATTAATGAAATAATCAGAATAAAGAGAAAAAAAGACATATATTATATAATAAAAATATATTATTATAAATTATTATAAATATATTTTTTAATAATATATATAATTAACAATATTTATATAATATATTATATATATTATTAAAAAGTAAAATCAATCTTTTAATTCAAAGAACAAATCGTTGCTGCGAATTTAAATAAAAAATTTTTTAAACTCATTCGTTAAACGAATGAGTTTAAAACCCTACGTTTGAGGAAATTATTTTCAAAGTACTCTCCAGTAAAGCAGATTTAATATAATAAGAGAGATTCCAGTAAAGCAGATTTAATATAATAATAATCTACAGTACAATCGTAAAAGTTAAAACATGATTTAAATTAATATTTGAATGATGTTATAAACTAATTGAAGATAACTGAAATAAAGGTATATATAAATGTAACAAAAGGAAGCTAACATATACATAGAAATAAAATGGAATAATGAAGTGCAAAAGGAAGTAATTAAATACCTGGATTAAGCTCGAGGTGTGCGACATGAACGATTGTTTGAGCAATTAAAGCTCCAATCAGTCCGCTGTACACAATAAGAGACAACAAAGCTCCATTTCCCGGGCAAAAGACGAACCTAATAATCCTTTCTAAACAACGTTGGATTTGAAACCATCTCATAATCTTCTCGCGATTTTAAAAATGCTTCCTTATTTATTCATGATAATAAATATTACAATCACGAGTATAATGATCGCTATGGACCAGATCAAGTCAACGGTGCTTGAATTAGTCAATGGAAGTATTTTCGCGATGCATGACATAATCTCCTTTCTATCCATGATTCTTCGTTTATATATTTTATTATTATCGTTTATATTAACTTCTATCGTTCAATATTTTCTTCAATGATGCATGTTTTTGTTATATCATTGCGTCCTTGCTTATTTCACGTTACAATTTACATATATAATATTTGCGTTTCAATTAAAATATTAAATAATAATTTTATCACTATAAAGTATTACGGAGAAAAACAAAAGTCTTTTGAATGTGAATAATTATTTTTGTATCATATTACGGAGAAATGTACACATTTTAGATTTTTTCGCCATGTTAAACAGAAAACAGAAATGAATGTCGAAGATGTAAACGTTTCGATGCATACTTCAAAAGATGAAACTTTTAAATGAAATTAATCTAATAATCAAGTATTTGTATAATTTTATCACACAATCGATACACAATATGATATGGAATTTATGATATATTTTCATTAAAGTATATTAATATTAAAAATTTGATATATATGTGAAAAAAGGATTATCCCGAATCTATTTTTATATTATTATTACATATATTTGAGAAACTCCTAATATAATGTTTTTTTTTTTATTAAAAATATTTTAACAATTTTAAATTTGATCAAACTAACTTCTGTATTTTGAAACTTCATACTTTACAGGGCTTCTCTAGAGAATATCGGGATGTCCGATAGATTGGAAAACGTTACGCAGACGATTTCGAGAATACTCGATGGCTATGATATTCGACTAAGGCCGAACTTTGGTGGTGAGCTCAAGTTTTGTAAATTTTTGCATATTTTATTGAAAATTATAAAGTTGAAATTAAATATGTTTGTTACAACAATATATGTTGTTATTTTACTTCAACAAAACACTGTAAATAAACTATATAAATAAAAAATATAAACAATATAATTAATATTAAATTTGTCAAGATTAATAGTCAATATGAAAATATCTCAATGCAGATATCTGTACACATACATATTTATCTTCTAAAAATATAATGTGAAGAAAAATATATTACTTAAAGTGTATTTCGAAAAACTATTCACTTAGATATCGAGATATATTTGCCGAAACTAAATTCTAGAATAGAATCGTTTGCCTAAAGGTAGAGAAGGGTATAAGACTAGAAAAGCTTTTAATGAAGTTTTCCACGCCATTCAACGAAGCACGATTGCAATCAGCGCTTTTAATCGAATGTGCAACGAGGGGAAGTAATTTGTCGATATTATCATGAGAATTAGAAAAAGACTTAATCTATTTAAGAAGATTTATTCTATTTCTTTATTCAATGGCTCTTCATTGCGAACAGTTTAAAAAATAAAGGAATTAGGATGCTCACTTTTTTGTATATAAAAGATATTTCAAGAGATTTAACGAGAGATTATTATTTAAAGGTGATCCATTGTTAGTTGGAATGGATCTAACCATTGCAAGTTTCGATGCGATCTCAGAAGTCAATATGGTAAGAAGATAAAGCAAAAAATATATATTTAAAAAGTAGAAAGAAATTTTTTTTCAAGTGCAAAATTTTTACACAATCCACCCTTTTTACATTTTTAGAAAGATAATATAAATTTAATATTTTTTCAACTTTAATTTTAATTTTTTTAGTATTAATTTGTATCAAATACATAAATTAAATTAAATTGCAACGAAAATCTAACACATCTTAAAACAATGTAAATTTATTTAACTTATATATGTAAATGTATTTCTAAATTTTGTCTTTATTATCTTTATTTTTTTTATTTATATTATCATTCATTATAATTTTATACAAATGTAAATTAAGATGTTAAAAGTATTATATATGTAGGAGTCTTATATACAAATTTTTTTTCACAATCTAACATTTATAATATTTTTATCATCTTTCTCAGATCAAGTCTTACTTTGAGATCTGTGATAAATTACACTAGACTGATAGATTGTCGATAAAGTTTTCTTTTTTCTTCCTTCCTCTTAAACATCATTCTGTTGATAGTCTTCGAGCAAATATAGCATATCTTACACTCTTATACAGAAAATTTTTTTTTATAAATTACATAATAAATAAAAAGTTTTGAAGACAGATGTTGCGTATAAATATTTATGTAATAATTATGTAAGATATAAAATATTTAAATTATGTAAAATATAATTTAAAATATGTCTGTAATTTTCGTAATTAATTATAATAATAAATTACATTGATGTCATTATCTGCGCCTTAGGACTATACGATAACGATGTATTTAAATCAATACTGGAAGGACGAGAGACTCGCTTTTTCGCACGAGGGAGAAGTCTTGACGTTAAGCGGTGATTTCGCGGAAAAGATTTGGGTTCCAGATACATTTTTCGCAAACGATAAAAACAGGTAATTGCGGCAATGAATAACTCATGAGCAACGTTTGCTGAATATCCGTATCATTTTATCTCGCGTTTTGAATTCCTATTCTCTTTTATCATTGTGTTTATCATTGTGTTTTAATGTTTTCAATCATAATGTTTTACTGAACCTGTTTGCAGTTTTTTGCATGACGTCACCGAACGCAACAAACTTGTCAGATTATCGGGCGATGGTTCAGTCACATATGGCATGAGATTCACAACAACTTTAGCCTGCATGATGGATCTGCATTATTATCCTCTCGATTCACAGAATTGCACCGTTGAAATCGAGAGCTGTATGTATTGGAATATGCATCTAATATAATCGATCGTTCGGACAAATAATATCCGTCAAAATTTTTTTCTTTTTCTCCCTCGTAAAGAGCGGTTTTTTGCATAAAAAATATACACACGTATTTCTCCTATAATTTATTTAAATTAAATTCCTCAGTAGGGAAATTTATGTCTAAAAATTTTAATTATTTGGAATAATATTGCTTAGAAATCTCCAAAAATAATAATACAAATTATTTAAATATCGATTAATAAATGAAAAATGAAAAAAAAGTCAGAAAATCAAATTGCAATAATTTATGTGCCTCCTTCTAAATTTATGCTGTTTTAAATATTCAGATGGATATACAGTTCTCGACGTAGTAATGTACTGGAAAGAAACCCCTGTTCGTGGAGTCAAGGAGGCAGAATTGCCGCAATTTACGATAATCGGCTATGAGACCAATGATCGAAAGGAGACATTGGCAACAGGCATCTATCAGAGACTCTCGCTGAGCTTTAAACTTCAAAGGAATATCGGTTATTTCGTTTTTCAGACATACTTGCCGAGTATACTGATCGTCATGCTTAGCTGGGTCAGCTTTTGGATCAATCATGAAGCTACCAGCGCAAGAGTAGCTCTTGGTAAAATTGCAATAAAATTGGAATTAAACATTTATCTCTTATTATACTTAAATATTTATAAACCATTTTTTATACATAATTATCTAAATTATGTAATTGTTTAAAATATTGTCCAAATTATTTATATATTATTTTAAATTAAAATTAAAATTTTAGAATTAGTAAATTTTATCTTATTCTAAAATTAAAAATATATTTTTCTCTCCTTCTCTCTCTCTTTTTACGCAATTTTTTTTACAAAATTACCTATGGAAAAATTTTCATTAAATATGTAAATAAATCTATAGTTTATTTTTTTTAGGTATTACGACCGTGTTAACGATGACAACAATATCAACGGGTGTTAGAAGCTCACTGCCACGAATTAGTTATGTGAAAGCCATCGATATTTACTTGGTGATGTGCTTTGTCTTCGTATTTGCGGCTCTATTGGAATACGCAGCGGTCAATTATACGTATTGGGGTGCCAGAGCGAAAAAAAAGACCAAGAAGAAAGAAACCGATGAGAAGAAAGTGCTTTCTTCTAAAATCGGTAATTGAATATTAAAGGATCTTTTGAAATTATTTTTTCGTTTGCTTGATTTTCGAATTTTCTTCAGGAAGCAAAGCCAGTTCGCCTTTTCCTGATTCTACGGACGCGGATATCATAGAACTTCAAGATCTCAGAATGTCGCCTCTACCGAGCATTAGAAATAGGTCAGGCCTAGTCAGCGCTTCATCGATGCCGGGAGTTGGAAGGGATCACGACCCGGTCAAATTTCCGCCGAGCTTTCGTATTTCCAGGGTCGCCGTTTACAACACGCACACTCGAAATAGCGGTCTCAGGTATAGAGGCCCGAGACCGCACAAACCAAAGGTATGCTTATATATTATAGGTACTCTTAAACAAACACTATGCAACTATATAAAATATTTGAAAAAAAGCTTGAAGTTTCTCCACATGATTTGTGTTTCATATTTTTGTGAGAAAAAATATATAACGTTATTAGATTATAAAAATATGAAGAAAAAATATCTTATATCGCGGAGAAATGAGTGAATAATTATAAATTAATAAAACAAAACGCACTATCCTTGACTTTTCCAAAAATGGAAAAAAAAATGACAAAGCAAATATAATGCATGGTTTCAATGTAACTCATTATGTAATCTTATTTCTTTTATATGTATGTTTCTTTTGATATATCTGCAAAAAGTGTTTTTTTCTTAATTTTTGCTTAAAATAAACACCGATAACTTGCATATATTATCTATGTATTGTATAATGTAATTTTTTTATAGGTATTACATGCTCTACGTAGAGGAGCTTCCGTGTTGCGCGTATCAATGCCGAAGATCAAGGATGTGAACATGATAGATAAATATTCGCGAATTATCTTCCCAGTCAGCTTCATGCTGTTCAATTTCGTATACTGGATCTTCTATTTTTTCTGAGCAGCGAACGGATATTAAATCGAATTCGGCCACGTCTGTATCTAAAAAGGACCAATCGATTCGGGAGGATTCTTTCAAGTTTTCGAACACGTCAAATAATGTGTAATATTTTTCGCGGGAATAAAGATCCACCGAATATACAAACAGGTGATGAAAGTACTGAATCGAAAGTACTGCCATGAAACACATTTATCGATAGGAATAAAACATATTTGCGATAAACTTGTGTGTGTGTGTGTGTCAACAGCAGCGTTTACGAGATTTTTGTTAATTAGAAAGCAACATTATAATATAGTGAAGATAAGCGATATGAAAGAGCGACAATATGTTCCTAACGAAACGTGATAACTATGTCATGTACATGACATAGAAAAGGCGTCAATGAGTAATAATTTGCTAGTGAACGAGAAAAGTCGCATTGAGATCCAAAAGTAAAATGCGTTGGAATTTACAATATTTGCGCCTGTAATGATAAAAGTGGTCTAAGTCATATATCTTTTATTTTAGAAATAAATACAGACTTTATTTCCATTTATTTCCATATATGTGTATGTGTTTATATATATTTCTTTTTTTATGTATCAAATTTTTATTTTCTGCAATGACATACAGTGCTTTATAAGTATTTTGTGTAAGTATGTTGTATTACACTTAATTTTCCTACATTTGTGATTCATTTCACATTTGTAATCGGCTGACAAAACTTCTTTGGTTCCAAATTTCACAAAGTACATTTTAAATATCGAAAATGGGAAATCAATAAATATTATAAATTTTAATACAGTGATTGATAAAATTAAAAAAAAATATAGACAAAAAATTATCAATAATAGTCAATTATCAATTTCACTTCACTGACAATTTGTTATTCTTAGTAATTTACATATTAATTAATTAAAATTTGAGAAATTGATAATATATAACAAATTGGCAATTATAACATTTCATAATGAATTAATGTCATACTTATATAAAATTTGAAAAATGATATTACATATATTAGATATGTTTACAATTTCCCGTTTTTTTAAACATATAACTAAAAAGGATGAGATGATTTATATCATCTCAGTTTAAAAGATATTTTTCTGAAAAAAGTACACACAATTTGAAGAATATTACATAAAAATGTACAACTCTGAAAATGCGATAGTTTTTAAATATAATTTTAACAAATAAATATATATAATTATTTTATAGCGGTTAATCACGTGTATACTGTGAATAGGTATGCAAATGTATATGGCAGAAATTTGCTTCAATTACTTCACAAATAAGTCATATATATGCAATTTTGAAAGACTTATTTATTTTTAGAAGATATAGAATATTTGTTATAGAAAAAGAAATATATATAAAAAACAAAAAATATTATCTTATCAATGATTGGCTAAGATACATAATGATTTATAATATAAAAATAAACTTTAGTTTGATGATTATGTTGCAGACAAACAAATTAAATGGACACACTTTTAAGAATTCACTTTAATGAGAATTGTTTTTATAGCAATTAGGTATATATGTAAATATATGAACAATTTAATAAAAAAATAAATGTGTATAAATATATAATATTCTTTTAAATATATTAATATAATTGAATATATATTTTTAAATGTGTCAATATAGTATTAACGATCAATTTAGAATTTTAAATGTTTAACTTTGTTTATACATATATAGAATGTCTACAAAAATACAGCAATATTTATTTTTATGATCTTTTTATCATATCATTTCTATCATAACATTTAATTTAATATTCTGTTTAGAAATTTAGCAATCTTGTAATATTGCTTCTGCTTATTTACTATTTCATTTATATATATATATATATATATATATATATATATATATAATCTTTTTTTATATTATAAAATCTTAGATAATTTAAAAATATGACTATATCCTTGTTGAAATTTATTGCATTAGAATACAGTACAAACACAAAGAAAATATGGATAATAATATATATATTTTTTTATTAAAAAACGTGTTTTTAATAAAACTGCTTATCATAATCAGATGAAAATTATACACTTATATATATCTCTGAATATATGTATAAAAGTATAAAATTTCTTAACTAATTTGTATTCAATTTATAATGCTCGACATTATAGGCACAGTCTCTTATAAAATATTTTATATTTTTATACTTATTTTTATAAATACAAATACATAAACATTCTTTCCCTTCATTAAAAATATGCATCGTTCATTTGCTCTTCTATCCCGCGTCATCACATATATAGAGATTCATTTTATAAGTTAAATATCGCTAATGTGAAAAAAATCTGTCCCATATTATAATAAATCTCAAAATATTTTTGGTTCTTATCGAATTCTACATTTATGTATCTTATAATACTCTCTCTATTATATCACTATATCTCATAAAAATATTTAAAAATGCACGATTAGAGATCTTATTATAATGTGTATAATGTACTTTTTTAAAAATAAAACTAATATAGAATTTGTGGTATTTAAAAAATACTTTGCTACTTGTGCTTTGTTGTCTTAAAAAATATGCTTCAAGATCATATACTTCACGCGAGAACAATATTGCTCCCATGCATATCCATATCGCGTCTGACAACGTCTATTGTCTCTTACAGCTCTATAAGCCAGCGTTAATGTGCAACAGATCGCCGAATAATACAGTAATATGTCACTCCTCAAACTAATAATCGCGATTGACCATTGCATTATAATATCACCCAAATAATTTGGATGCCTCACATGACCCCATAAGCCAGATAACATCAACTTTTTCCCACGCGACGTTGGGATGGTTTCTAGATCTATAAATTTCGAAAGCAGATATATATATATATATATATATATATATATATATATATATATATATAGTTTTCGAACTTTAGGAAAAAAAGTAATATTAATAATAAAAGTAATTATTTCTTCTTATACTTACAAGGTACTGTTGGGGAAATGGGATTCTTTCTGAATTCATTTTTTCGCGAATTACTAGTTCTATATAAGACATATCCCATTATAAAACTTAAAACGAACATCCCAGCAAAATAGTTAAATTTTATTCTGAAAGTGTATTAATAGAAATTAATATATTAGATATTATATAAATATATATATATATATATGAGCTCTTTATATATACTTACTTTTGATATAATATAAATCTTGTTGTAAGAGTTGTCAAAAATGGATATAATAAGTGACTGACGCACGTCATATATCCAGTTCCCTCATACATTATTGCAAAAGATGTAAAAATAGTAGCTTCAAATATTAAACCATCTACAATATAGAATTGCTGCAATAAGATAACTAACAATGCAGTTACATTAAGTTGCTCAATATTTAGACTATTTATATCGCCAATAGTTTTAATTATGACAGCCATATTCACGATCAACTGCAAAATAAAGAATAATTATAATCAATATTTCAATTTCCATTCCTCTTTCAAATCCTCAAAATTTCCATTCTGTGATAATACAAATATAAAATTACCGTGCCAATAAGAGAAGCTCGTATTAACAATAATTTAATGTCCAAAGCACCAATTCGTGGATTAATCTCTCTACCTTGCCAAAAGTTATATATCTTGCTCTTAGTTGATGCATATATATTTAGATTGGCTACCGGAGCTTTTTCTGCTTTCATATACAATATCAATGCTAAAAATGTTCCCACAAGCCAGCCACTGACTGACAACTGCACAATATTATTTAAGATATAATCACTGATCAAAATATTTTTATACGTGCATAAACCGAATATCGTTATGGTCAAAACTGCGCTTAAAAAGCCTAAAAATTTATAGAATATTATTAAAAATACACACATCGTTATAATTAAAAATTACACATTATTAAGCATATACCATTTATACGATATTGAAGTCTCTCAATTTTGCTTTCCTGTCCATTTACAGTTTTTCCGATTGGTATAATTGAAATACAAGCCAATAATATTAAGAATGCAACATAAGATAACAATCCATGTAAATTTATGTAAGATTCCAAATTAATAGGAAGCTTTATACAAGCAAACTTGCATTGTCCTTTCGAACACAAGAGTTGTGGTAAGATTATAGACACTGGTAAGATAAATATAAGAAAAGATGTCCCAATCCATCCACCCCATTCTTGTGGTTTACCAACTCTATTAATTTCCTTCTCACGTTTCACTGTTTCTTCCCATTTTTCAGCCTCTTGTGATAACAAGGGCTTTAAATCCTGAAATATAATTAATATTTTGTGTAAATAGTTATATTATAAAGTGTAAATGATACAACACAAAGTATAAAAATTGAAGATATTATTAAAGTTTACTTGATCTCTTTGCATCGAATATCCTCTTTCTTTTTCTCCTGAAGGATAATCGTGTATATAACTTTTCCTTTCTAACGGAAGTGAAACAGCTCTATCGATATTTCTCATTGATAAAATTGCCTTATATTCTTGTTCAGTTTTTAGAAATGGCCTATACATTATTCCTTTCTCCAAGCGTAGTTGCAAAGGCATTGATTCAGGACTCTCTTCTAATGCTTTTACATTGCTTCCTTCTTTGTGATTGCTTACTTTATCTGTTTATTAGTGAAAATAAACTTGCATATAAGAATATATATGGCAAACAACATATTATATATATATGCTTACCACCACTTTCGGCATCTATACGTGACAAAGAGATCTTAGCAAAACGCGTGTTACGAATAGGCAACTTCCTAGATGTAATTGTTGGCGATGTCCCAGGTGATCTCCCAGGTGATCTCCCAGGCGATCTCCCAGGCGATCTCCCAGGCGATCTACGTGATTGTCTCGCTGGTGATCGTCTACTTGGTGATTTTCTGCTTGGTGAATATCTTGAAGGATTTTTCCTGCTTGTTCTGCTTGTGCTTCTCCCTCTGTCATACTTTAAAAGTATAAAGAAGATTATGAATACATATGTATCATTATAATAAGAAACATATTCTTAACGTAATAATAAAAACAAAATTTTTTAAATTTACTCTATATTCTTCTTAAATATATATAGTTTCTGTGACAATACTTCTTTTACTAGCATTTATAGCTATTACCTTTATGTCATTTTCTCTAACTGTATGTTCGGTGCCTGTTTCAAATTGTATCTTGTATCGATCGCCTCTAATATTGAGAATCCTTCCTTTATAATATTCAGAAGTATTTGGATATTTAGCAAGAACCTGTTCACCCTCGGTAAACTTCATTGCAAGATCTAGTATAATATTAAAAAATTGTAATATAAATATAATATAAATATATATTTTATATATATATATATATATATATATATATATATATATACATATATATAATCAAAAATAATAACAAATTAATCATATTTATTAGCAAAACCAAATTTAATAATTAAATTTTCTCTGCTGATTAGATAAAACAATAATCTAAACATCAATTAGGCTTAATCCAGATTTAATGGTAAATTATACAACGCTAGCATAAAAAAACAATCAATTATTGCTTTACAAATAAATGAGATTCACACTGGCGAATAATTGCGCAAGGCAGAATTCTTACAATCAAAAAATGCGGATACCGCCTAAAATTTTGTAATTGTCCGTCGAAGGAAGATACGTAAACTGAAGCGGGAAAGCGTCATCGCGCGCTTTTACAATAATCTCAATCTCGCATTAAATCTGAATAAATCTCTAATCGAAGTGGTATTCATTGTGCGACTTACGTGTCGTGCTGATCCGGCTCGGTCGGCTCTACTCGGCTCCAACAGATATTCGCGATGCGTGAAAAATAATAAAACTTCCACAAGTCGTGAGGTTACGCCTGATACCGCTCTGATGCATCATAATAATGCAGGAGGGACGCGCAAAAGCACGCAGGCACGCAGGGCACGCACTCTCCGTGTGTTCCGAGATACATCCGATGTAGGCCACGCGGGAGAGCTTACCGTTACGTCAATGGGTGCGTTCACATTTTGCGATTCTCACCATTCGACCTTTCACTGAACGCCGATTCCCTCCTCTTCGTGATACTCGAGTCGCGAATGTAATGAATATCTGGTCGAGTACTCGTTTTATCTTATCACAATGAACGGAAACTGCATTACGGCGAAACCTTGCCGGTAATTAAGCGGTCTTGCGCGATAGAAAATTTCATATTCATATATTTATTAAAACTAAAATATTATAAAGTATATAAACTCATATAAATAATATACATATTCTTCTAAAATAAATAGCAAAATTTAACTTTAGGAAATTGTACTCTCTATTTTTGTAATTAAACAAATTTTTTCACATATCCTAAAGAAAAAAAAACGTTGAATTTCAATAATATATATTATATAAATAATTAATTAATAAAAGATATTTAAATATTATTCCATGAATTAATATTGTTAGGTTATTTTTTAATAATGTTATTAGAATTTTTTATTATTAAAAAGTATATTTTAATAGTAATAATATAAATATAAAAGTTCTTTAATAAATAATATTCTTGATTAAATAATAAATATTGAAATATAAAAAATATATCTTTAAAATGTCTTGAAAACCGAACATAATGTGTCGATGTCAAAATTATGTAGGCACGCATAATTATATAGGTTGGGTCAAATAAGCTTAATTGTTAAATGAAAATTGGAATTAAAAGTTGTAGAAGAAAGTGTAAAATTATTCTGAATATATTAAAATCAATATGTATCTAAGTGATTTTAGAAATTTTATCTCTTTACGCATAAAGATTTCTGAGAAAATATAGAAATGTATAATATCAAATTTTTAAAACGTCAACGTATGTTTCCCTATACGCGACTTTTGTAATCTTCAATATTTACATATACTATTTTATAATTTAACTTTTAGATTTTAAACTTTTTATTATAATAGTGAAATATTATTTTAATATTATATATAAATATAATATATAAATATAAATATATAAAAAATCTATTTCAAATTTTATTACTATTAATTACTAAAATAAATATAAAATTATTAGGTTACAGAAACAGTAATTTAAAATTTAAAGTTATGATATTACCCATTTATCGAATTGCAGTAATCTGAAAAGCATTTGTGTATAACGGTTGCGTATAAATTGCCATTTTTTCCGATAACGCAAGAACAAAAACACATGGATGAATTCAATTTGCAGAATAAACGTGACCTCTTAGTATGTGTTTCATATGATAATCTTATTTATATGCTTGCGCATAATTTATTTTATAACGATAGATTTTTTTTAATTTTATACTTTCAGAATTCTTTGGAGAAAATTATAAATTTCAGCGAATATAATTTTCCCGAACTCGTAGATGATATTCCACAAACATTTGAGACTAACAAACCTAACTTTCAAGAGATGAGCGGAGAGAAAACGGAAACGCTTTTTAATGACTTTTCAATGTTATCTGTTGATGCGTCAGAAGGTTACATTTTTTTATACAAAATTTCCCAGTTTAATGTTTTATTCTGCGAACTATAAAATATAATTAAATCGTTCTTAAAATATAATTAAATCGTAATTATACATAATAGTCTCAGCTTCTAACTATATCCATTATAAATTGTTATATTTTTATATATGATAAAAAATTAAATATTAAATTTATGCATAGATAATACAAAAAAAATAATAGCGTTGGAATCAAAGTGCAAAGAGCTGTGTGATCAAGTTGATCGTTTAACAAAAGAAAAAGAAACTGCATTCGAGGAGATAGAACGTTTAAAAGATCAAGTAAAACTTTGTTATCTCGTTTCTTTATTAATTTTATTATAGCACACATATCACTATACTATTACTTTCTTATATTTTTGTATCACATCTTTCTTTCTGCATTCGAGGAGATAAAACGTTTAAAAGATCGAGTAAAACTTTGTTATCTCACTTCTTTAGTAATTTTATCGCAGCACACATTGTATATACTGTGTATTCACTATTTAACTATTTTCTTGTATTGTATTTTTATACCATATCTTTCTTTAATTAAATTAAGAAGAGTTTTGAATATATTTGAATATATTATTTCGAAAATATGCTGAAACGTTATAAATGCAGTATTTTTGTTTTAATCATTTTTAAAAAAAATTATTCATTAATTTGTTCACGTCTCTTTACTTACTAGATAATAAATCAGAGTACCTATTGCACAAGCCTAGGTGCAGTATTAAGTAACCTGACTTGGCGTGCTTCTAGATTTCCACAAATTGTCGATATTTGGTTAACGACCGTAAGTATACGTACAAGATATTAATTAACTAAGTGAAAGAGTATAGCATGTTAAATTTTGTTGTATTTGAAATATAACGAAAAGAAAAAATCCAACTAAAATATATATGAAAATATATATAAGTTTAATATAATATTTTAATATAAGTTTCATATAATATTTTTAGTTTCAGAATAAAACAGGAGAATTTTTGTCAATAGTAAATGGCACTTTTGGCGCATTTGTTAATACTTATAGAAACGTATTTCCTCCGACGAGCAATATTGAATACCAATTTGTAACAGGACTCCTCGGTATTGTTACTAATATATCTGCGAGTCCGGAAGGTCGCGAATTTTTAATTACAAATTCCAATGGCACAGAATTCGTACAAAAAATAATTAAACTAACGCCTGAATTGCCATCAGTTCCCGGATCATTATCTCTAAAGAGGTATAAATATATTTTAATAGATTGTCCCTGTCATATTTCTAAATCATCTGTATCTTGACATTTAAAAAATCTTATCTTTTTTTAATTTTCATAATATATTTCATTTATATAATTAATTTTCAATATATTTCCATTCAAACCTCTTCTACGCCTCTGTGTATATTGACAATTTCTCAAGCGCAATTGCAATTATAGATTAATATTAATGATTCTGTACAACGTGAGCATGAATAAGACCGGCTTGCAATATCTGCTGGAATCCCAGTTAGAAGCTACGTTGAGTTATTGTATGGAAGATGAATCGTCCTCAGAAGAGGTGCAATTGCTCTGCCTTCGCGTTCTACAATCCGTCACTTACGATCTCACCGAACCGAAATATATTCACGCTCTCATCACAACAATTTCGATCGAAAAAATCGAAACTCTGGCATACTCAAAACGCAGCGATATAAGTGACGTAGCAAAACAAGTTATAAAACATTTACAAGATACTAAAAAAATTATTAAATGATATGATGTATAATGCTAATGCATTTTATAGGATTTTATATCATTTAATATTTGCAAGAATAAATATGTAATTACGTATAATAAGTAAACGATTAAATGCTTAACAATTTCTTTTGCGTTTAATAAAATGTTTTATATGCATTTGATTATATGCATTTTTTTAAATACATTGATATTATGATATAGAAATTAAAATATTATGATATAGAAATTAAAATATGCTGCAAAATGTATTTATTTTTTATTTGTATCAATTATATGATTTATATATTATATTCTTCGCGCGTTGTATTCAAAGTACCTAGCTATGTTCGTCAAATTTTATTTATATATATTTTCAACTATTTTTCTTTAAATAATCCAGAATTTGCATTATATATTAGAGGAGGTTTATTTAATAGTTTACTACATTAAATTTTTAAGCACGTTTTCTTCATTATCGTAGCTAATAATAGATCATCGTCAGAATATATACAGACTATCCTTGGAACATATGTTCGTCAAATTTTATTTATATATATTTTCAACTATTTTTCTTTAAATAATCTAGAATTTGCATTACATATTAGAGGAGGTTTATTTAATAGTCTACTACATTAAATTTTTAGGCATGTTTTCTTCAGTATCATAGCTAATAATAGACCATCGTCAGAATATATACAGACTATCCTTGGAACATATGTTCGTGACTACTACTAGAGGGGGGGGCGATATCGATCTGCAAAGAGCAGAAACAAAATGAAAACGATCAGGATGTAGTGTTTTATAACGGCAGTCAATATTATACGAATTATATAATAGTAGCCGCACAACAATGTATGTAAAATAAATAAATTATTTAGTAATCATAATAAAAATTAAATTACACATAATAATGGAACAAAATGGCAGTAAATAAAAGTCTTTTGAAAAATTAACTACGATTATAACATAAAATGTGCTTTTCATATCAATTTTAACAATTATGTGTCGTAATTCAAACATATTAATTTGATTATTAATATATTCGAAATCTACTTGCTTGTTTTTCATAGCAAATTATTCAAGAAAAGTGAGACTATCAATTGCATTGACCCAGCAGGTATATCGAGGTAATGACCGACCGTTCCAAATAAAAACTTTACATACGTTTCCAGACATGTTCGATAATACATAATGCGCATAACTACGTCAATTTAAATATCTTATACGTGTGTGAAAAATGAGAAATATTTTCTTAAAATATTTCAAATAAATTTTATTTATAAAAATCAAAAAATATTAATTCCAAATTGATTCCTCTCTCTTTTTGAATTAAATTATGGCAAAATAAAAAATTCCTATAATATAATGAATAGTCTAAAAATTGTAATAGTAAAATAATAGTTTCTATGTATTTGATACAATTTAAAATAACATCTTTTCTCTCTTTTCTCTAAATCAATTGTATTATATTTTTTCGAAAAAATTATACATTTATATAATAATGTTCTATAAACAATTTTTGTTTCTATATGTATAGTGCGTTCCGTTTCTTTTTTACCTCATTCCTAAAAAAAGTAATACATCTAATATTCTTGTAATATATTGTGTGACATTATGCGGCAACTATTATATGCAGGGATGTATATAGTGCAACGAGTGTGATTGTTAAAGAGAAAGTGTCTTATATCGAACATATGGTATCTTTCTCAAAAAAGCACATTTTTCGTCATTCTTTTTCCCCTCTATTAATATACATATTTCATTCAATATTATAGAGTTAAAAAACTTTCTCTTTCATATGATTTCTTTTCTCGATTCCATTCCCTTCTCCCTCTTTCTTTTTCGCTCTCCATATATTTTAATAAAAAAAGTATCTTTTCACAGAAATAAAGAAAGAGAGACGCCTTTAGACGTAACACATCCCACTAACCCACCCTGAGCTTCCCCGAAGTGCTGATGAATTCCGCGAACGCGCTTTCCGCAAATCTTGCTCCGCGGACGTTCCTGAGCGCGGGGCTGAATATCGATCCGCGGTGCGAGTCTCGCACGCGGGCGAGCGTGCGCGTGGTCCGCCGAAATCGCGCCGGAGCGCGGCGCGACACCGCGGTGCCGCCGCGTCCAGGGATTGGCGCTCGGGGCGAGCGTGACGGGGATGACGGACAGGCGCGCGTCGCGTCGCGTCGCGTCGGGACGTCCGGCGTCGCAAACGGTAGAGCTCGGCAGGCAGAGACCAGACGGGAAGGACCTAAGACAGGCGACGGCCGGACGGGCGTTTTATTGATTCTGGGGCGCCGCGGCGCTACCCACCCGCGGCGGGGTAGAGCCTGCTGGCGAGAGGAAGCTCTTCTCCCCGACGAGGACGATTTTCTCCATCGTCTCTTCATCCTTTTGCACGTCCGAGACCGGCGGCCGATTTTCCCCCGACGTCCTTTCCACCCCACGCGATCGCGTCTCTCGAAATCTCTTCCCCTTTTCTCGCGTTGCAACTCGAAGCCGGTCGGTGGGTGTGTGCAAGGGCACCGTCGTCGTCGTCGTCGTCGGTATCAGTCAGCTTCTTGGTAGCGGTCAGGAAACTGGCACGATCGATCGTCGTGGAACAACCGCGAAAGTGAAGAGGGCGAATAACCTAAAGGCTACCGGGAAAGTTTCTCGCGAAATATTCGCGCCGGTTGTTGCCGCAACGTGACAGAAACTCTGAGGGACTCGCAATAATATTTATACGCGAAGGATCTACAAAATATTTACATAAGGACGGCGAGGATAAAGTGATAATATTGGAAAATCCTTCTCGTCATTGCTAAAGAACCGGTTTCGCGAAGGGATCTGAAAGCGATTACGAAAGGAAAATCATATGTTTTACACTATCGTTGAAGTCAGTGCAAGCAGGTTACCGAGATATCGACGAAGTCGAATTAAATCGAAGTTGCCCCAGATACCTCCTCTAGACGTCGCTGTGGAAAATAACGAAAAGATATCACCGGCATTCGGAAGCATTTCAAATTCTCACGATGATAACGAGAAAATAGAGAAACGAGGATCACTTTAAATACTGCTGCGGCTAAATTTTAAGTTTAAACTCCAAAGTTTGTAAGTGGATAACTAATAATCTGTGTGGAAGTAATTTTTCGAAGAAGGTGCGGAAAGAGATAGTTTACGATACCGCACGATCGATTATTTTCACATTCTTAATCATCGAATTAAAAGTGCGATCGCGAGAGAAGTGCCGAGAAAATTAATCTAACCCATAAGGTGAGGTAAAGTTAATAAGCGCATCAAATAAAAGACAAAAATAAGATACAAAAACGTGGAGCTCGAAAACAGATACAAGGGAGAAAATCGAGAATTCGATCGCTTTTGGGGGACAAATGGACGTAGACGTGACCGAGGAAGCCGACTTCCACAGAATCTCTATCAGAATTTTGATTCCGATGGAAGCGTCATAAGTCGCCGTTGGGGTTGCGCTGATTCGCGTCGATTATCCGAGGAATCGGTCGATCGGTTAGGCGCTGTCGACGCCTCGATTTCGACCAAGAAGCGTCCAGAAGGAAAGCCAGGCCCGTCTGTCGTCTGGGAGGTGCTGCGGTGCTGAAATGGGCCCTGCCAGCAGCCGCGAGCAGATTGGCGAGCAAATTGGCGAGGACGATGGCCTGCACATCCACCCGAAGCCGATGATAGTTGCGAATAATATCGTAAGTATTTCGTTTTTGATCACCTTATTAAGGAGACGATTTATGTCAAAAGTTGGAACAATTAATTTAACATATTTTTTTCATTGAGAGGAATGAAAATGATTGAGAGGAACGACACTGCTAAAATCAATTTATAAATTCTTTTGAATAAATCGAAATCGTATTATGGTATAAGAAAATAAAAAATATATTATATATTTATATATTTATATATTATATTTATATATAATATATTATATATTTATACTCTATTTACTAACATGAAATACGATTTTAGACTGTGTCAATAACACTCCCGTCGATAATAAGAAATTGTTCTTTGCTTTCTCATTGATCTAATTCTAAAATAAACATCTGATGACAGTCTAATTTTCCGAAAGATATGCTAGAGTTTTTTTATATTTTTTAGTATAAAAGCTTATTACAAAGATATACTGCAATTGCATCAAAAATTATCCTTATTTATTATTTCCACATTAATAAAATAAAATGTTGAAATAAATTAATAAAATGTTGAATTAACGAATAATGGAAAATCTTAATCGATAATCTGTTTACTTGCTTTCACTATATATATCTCTCGATTTTTTTATTAGGCTAAGCAAGAATAAGATAAAAATTGCTTACTTCTAAAGAAAATATCCTGACATCAGCATGTGTTTTATTTTGAAGAAGATGACCTTTTCTATTTTATTTGATCTTCAAATCTATCCTCAATTCGAATAAAACCAAATTGATTAGGAAATCGTTCTTTTAAAGTAAGCAATTTTTTATTTAACATTAAAGCATTTTGTTATCATTAAAAATGAAGCAGTAAGCTTAATAAGATTTTAACTTTATTATATACTTATAATTAAAGAATTAAACGTATCCTGACTCTATATCTCCAAGAAGTTAAAAACTTTAAATATCTTACTATATTTACTATATTTTGTTTTATTATAAAGTTAAATTTTCAAACTCTCTCTCTCTCTCTCTCAATCCAAATATATTGTTAATAATACATACATAATTTAATTTCATTGAAATTTATTAAAAGTCGAGTTCATTATTATGCTCTAATTATATGATTAACATATGAGTTAAAATAGAAATATAAAAGAGAGAAAATACAAAAAGAATAAATATATTAGGTATATTTGAAATCGAGAAAAGTAATTTATCGGAAAAATATAAGTTGAAGATATAAAAAATAAAATTTTATCTAATTTTATTAAAAATGTCATTCTACAATTTTTACTACTTATTTTTGTCCGATAAGTCTTATCATCTCTCATCTATTTTCCGGTTGTACCATGACGTACCATGTGTATCTCTATGCATAAGTAATATTTGCATTTCCTGCAAAGTTTTAATGTCGATGAAATCATCTGATTCTTGCAAACATAAGAAACTACGGTAATATCACATTAAGATAACGTTATCACAATTAATGCGGTGCATATTGCGTTAGAAAAAAAATATATATTACCATCATAATATCCGATAATCAAAATAATATAGTAGTTTTTATGGAATAAATCACGCGCAACGTGTTGATAAAAATCATAACGAAAAATCATTGCGTTTTTTCTCGTTCTTAACCAAAATTAGAAACTTTCTGCTATTCGTGCACATAATTATTGTGTCATTATTATTTAATATAATTTATCATAATCCGCATCTTGATTTGCTTTAAAATTTAATAGTTCCGACAGCATTGCGACAAAAATCGATGTATACACGAGGAGAACACTATTATATATATACCAATGTATGATACTACATTTCCATTGTGCATTCTTTAATTAAGAGAAATTAAGATATCTTTTGGCCAATATTCAAATAATATTTCCTTAATGAAAATATTATTTTATTAAATATCTATATTTCTCAATAAACATTCTTTTATATTCAAATGCTGTATCAATTTCAATCAACGTAAAATCGATAAAATTTTCTCAACATCCTAATATACATATACTATATACTACATATACATATTTAATAATTGAAGCCATATTAGATATAAAGCTCCTACATCTCATAGGCTTGATTACCACGATCGTTTACACGTGACGATTAGATAATCTTTGACGTAACCTCCCGCAGGGAAAAAAAGAGAAAGGGAAAGAGAGAAAGACATTATACTTAAGAAACGCGTCACAGGCTCCTGTATTCGAAAAATATACCGCGACTGGTATACATGTAGAATTTTGCATTCTCGCCGATGATTCGAGCGATTTTATTCGCACGAGCGCGTACCCGTGAGTAATTTGTCGCCGGGCGCGTTTAGAGAAGCGCGGGGGCGAGAAAGACGGGTGATTAAGATTGGTGAGTGCAGCGAGGGGAGACGGATGATGGGACAGTAAAGAAGAAGGGGAAATACGGGGTACACGGAGCGAAATGGCAACAACGATGACGATGACGACGATGATGACGGGGATAAACGCGGCAAGATGCGCGACGTTCCCCAGAGTGGGGAATCACGGATGGACTACGGCGTCCTGCGTCCATACGATTAAGTCGCTCGGTGATTGAGCGAGCGCATTTTGTCGCGCGTAGCGCGTATTCGCGTTTCGCGCCGTGTTAGCCTGGTTCAGCTGCCGACGCCTCCTCTTCGCGTGTGTATCGCGCGCGGATCAGGTGCCGAGGCTCTCGTACCATCTCGCTCATTCACGTCACATCGCCCACGAGGGTGCATTCGCCTCCGATTAACAGCGCAGAGAGGCACCGTCAATTATGTCGCCTAAAAATAAGGTAATCACAATGGTTGCTTGTAAAATAGTCTCGAAATAGAGTGTTGATATAGTATAAACATAATTGCAAATGTTTATATAATATTATAAATCGTTATATAATATTATATAATTGCATATATCAGTAACATCGCAATTATCGAATAATTGCAAGCGTTTTTTGAATATTATGATATAATCGCAGGCATGTCCAAAATGTCATTAAATAATCGCGATATTATTTTTAGAAATTTGAAATTGAATTTTATTTTTAATATATAAATTAGAAATTTATATATTTGTAATTATCATATTTTTATATCATATGTATTCGAATAAGAAGAGATTATTTTCGTATATATTGATAACATCTCTTTCTCTCTCTCTCTCTCTCGAAATCTGAACTCATATCCAAATTATATTAATTCCTGATAATCAATATGCAAATTATTAACATAATAAGAAATACTATAGCAATAACAGTATTCCAAATTATTTTAATAATATTAATATTAGGGTTAATCAAAAATATCATTCGCGATAATGATTAATGGTAACTCGATATGCAATTTCGTATTTTCTATTCGTATAAAATTTGTAAAATTTGTAAAAAGCAATTATAATAGAAAGCAGTGTCTTCAATTTCGCAGTATCATTCTTCTTTCGCGAAGGATATACCGAAATTCGCAAACAATAATATTCCAAATATAGTCGGCGTATTCTTGAGTGATCTCATGTCTCCGCAGCGTTAGCAGGAATTTGAATCGAACCGATAGCGAAGCAACGGTGTATGATTATTTCTGTGGGCGTAATTCAATTTTTATATTTCTTCTTCGGAATTTCATTATAATAATTTTTATATTTCTTCTTTGGAATTTCATTATAATAACATATCGCATTTATAACAACAACGTATAATTATTTATTGACGTAAGTAGTTTTTATGTTTATGCGAAACTTTATTTTCTGCGTTTCATGCGTTTAAAGTCCTTTAGATTATCGATATTTGTTTGAAAAATTTTGTTTCATGATTCATCACAATTTCCTAATACTTGCTGTTGATATGTATTCAGATATCAAGAATAAATTAACTTGGAATTTAATAAAGAAACTTGAAAAAATATATATAAAAGTTTTTTTATCGTTGACTCGAGATTATATTAGACTTATTTGTTGTGTAGTCGTATTGTTTTACGGCGACTCGACATTTTGTATTATGATTCATTCGTCGTTAATATAATATATTCTGCGAATATAGATATGCATTTCCAGACAGTTTACGCACTGTTACTAAAAGATAGGAAAGATAAATTACGCGTATAATAAATGCAGAGTAATGGTGAAGAAAGTCAATTGCGTGTGAACAATTAAATGTTTGCGAGCTGAATGTGAAAATGATTTTCTCTTTCCAAATTACTAAATATTAAATTTGCTTTTATTTTTGAAAAATCTCAAACATAAAATATATATATTGTTCGACAATCCATATTATACATTTTGTTTAATCTTATCTATTATAAATATAAATAATATTCTAGGAGTATAAAATATGAGATATTTTTCATATCTTATCTAAAGTGAACTTAAAAAGAAAACGTATACGTAATTTAATAACACTATAGCATAACATGATAGCATATTTATCTAAAATACGTTTCTTGCGCGTGTTTTTTGACAATTATTAGTCGATTTTCGCAAGATAAATGATAAAAATGTGCGTAACGATTGAACAATCGCGAAATACGCGAGTGAAAGTGGGTTGTAGGCTGGTTGACGAGGAAATTTATAATGTAACGCCGCAGTCTCGACAAAAACACAATATTATATTCCGGATGATACGCTGCATCGTTTCCATGCGTATAATTCTTTTCTCTCTTCTTTTTCATCTCTCTTGTATTCCTTTCGCCACATTTATCAGTAACATTATATTAATAAATATGTTTATTTACAAGTATCCTCTAGTAAAGGCGTTTAATCCCAAAAAATGCAGAAGAGCGATTCGAGAAGATGCTTTCCTGGATTGAGACTGATTTTTATCTAATTTTTGAATTAAAACGCATTCCTGAGACTCAAAAGATTAAGATCTATTTTGCTTAATTTTTTTATCTTTTAAGTGTTATGTTATTGAACTCCTTATCGCTATCGAATAAGAGGGATTCTCGGATTCATGGTTGTTTAACTGATAGATATTACATCGCATTTTTGTTTCATTGTCCTATTATTTTTCCCTAATTAAACTCTGCATCGCATCAATAAAACAGTAACAGATTTTTTGCATAAGGA